ATGCCTGGCTAATCTATTTTTAGTAGAAACGGGGTTTCATGATGTTGGCCAGGCTGGTCTCAAATTCCTGACCTCAAGTTATCCACCTGCCTCGCCCTCCCAAAATGCTGTGATTGTAGGCATGAGCCACTGTGCCCAGCCTCCACTTATTTCATTAAAGTGACGTTGGAGCTATTCCTTAAGGTTATTTCCTAATTTAATTCAACTTCACTGGAAATAAGAAAACAAAAAATAATCCTAATTTTGTAATGTGAATATTCATATTTGGTACTATGTAGATAGGCTGTATTTTTTTGTCTCTAGGTCTTAAGGTCTTGGCCCAATGCACACTCTGCCTCCTGGGTTCAAGGGATTCTCCTGCCTCAGCCTCCACTAGCTGGGATTATAGGCGCCTGCCGCCTGGCTAATCTTTTGTAATTTTAGTAGAGACAGGTATCACCATGCTGGCCAGGCTGCTCTCGAACTCCTGATCTCAAGTGATCTGCCCACTTTGACCTCCCAAAGTGCTGAGATTACAGGTGTGAGCCACCACACCCAGCTCTAAAATTTTTTTTAAAGAGGCGGGCGTGGTGCCTGTAATCCCAGCACTTTGGGAGGCCAAGGCAGGTGGATCACAAGGTCAGGAGTTCTAGACCAGCCTGGCCAACATGGTGAAACCCTGTGTCTACTAAAAATACAAAATGTAGGTGAGCATGGTGGCACATGCCTGTAGTCCCAGCAACTCAAGAGGCTGAGGCAAGATAATTGCTTGAACCCAGGAGGTGGAGGTTGCAGTGAGCCGAGACTGCGCCATTGCACTTCAGCCTGGGTGACAGAGTGAGACTCCTCTCAAAAAAAAAAGTTTAAAGAGACAGGGCAGAGTGTGGTGGTGGCCCAAGCCTGTAATTTCAGTACTCAGGTAGGCTGAGGCAGGGGAATTGCTTGAGGCCAGGTGTTTGAGACCAGCCTAGGTTGCATAGCAAGACCCCATCTCTACCAAAAAAAAAAAAAAAAAAATTAGCTGGGTGCAGTGGTGTGCATCTGTAGTCCTAGCTGCTTAAGAGGTTGAGATGGGAAAATTGGTTGAGTCCACGAGTTCAAGGCTGCAGACAATCATGATTGCACCATTGCACTCTAGCCTGGCCTACAGAATGAAACCTTGTCTTAAAATTAAAAAAAGAGAGAGAGAGAAAGATTGAGCCAGTGTCTCATAATGTTGCCAAGTCTAACCTCAAACTCCTGGGCTCAAGCAGTACTCCTATCTCAGCCCCTGCATTACTGGGATTATAGGTGCATACCACCACACCCAGCTATGTCTCCAGATGTTCTAACGGAAATTCTCATTCAAACATCTTTTTTTTTTTTTTTTTTGAGACGGAGTTTCGCTGTTGTTACCCAGACTGGAGTGCAATGGCATGATCTCGGCTCACCACAACCTCCGCCTTCTGGGTTCAAGCAATTCTCCTGCCTCAGCCTCCCGAGTAGCTAGGACTACAGGTGTGCACCACCATGCCCAGCTAATTTTTTGTATTTTTAGTAGAGACAGGGTTTCACCTTGTTGACCAGAATGGTCTCGATCTCTCGACCTTGTGATCCACCCGCCGAGTCCTCCCAAAGTGCTGGGATTATAGGCGTGAGCCACCGCGCCCGGCCTCAAAAATCTTTATTATAAAATGTCTCCACTTATTTTGTGTGATACTCAGTGTTATTTGGGAAGTCCCTTGAAGATTGTGGGAGTGTTTTGAGAGATACAGTATGTTCAGTGTGAGGCTAGAGTGATGAGGATACAGTTTGATAATCTTTAATGGGGCTTTTCCATAGAACTTGTGTTGGGAAAATAGTTAGCTTTTATAATATTAGAACAGCTATTAGCATGTTAAGAAAGGTTTCTCTGCTGACTCCTATTGGTAATGTTTGTTGATAGAGAAGAGGAGAAGGAGGCCACATATAGTTAAAACAAACAAGTGATCCTAACACTCTGCTGTGCCTTTCAGCTGGTTCTTGGCCAGCAAGTCAGCCTAGTCTATCTTTTTTTTTTTTTAAAAAAAACTAGTACATACTTAGTTGCTTTTATTGAGAGTAAACCAGGAGAACATGATTTCTTATATTATTATTATTATTATTTTTGACAGTCTCGCTCTGTCGCTCAGGCTGGAGTGCAGTGGCCTGATCTCAGATCACTGCAAACTCTACCTCCTGAGTTCAAGCGATTCTCTTGCGTCAGCCTTCCAAGTAGCTGGGATTAAAGGCACTTGCCACCAAGCCTGGCTATTGGCTAGTTTTTGTATTTTTAGTAGATACCAGGTGTCAACATGTTGTCCAGGTTGGTCTCAAACTCCTAACCTCAAGTGATTTGCTTGCCTTGACCTCCCGCAGAGCTGGGATTACAGGCGTGAGGCACTGGACCAGGCCAGATTTCTCATATTAGAAAGTCAGACAGTGTGTTGAGGAAGAACTCAGCACTAGGGAAAAGAGTAGAATAGATACAGATAGACATTTATGTTGCCAACAAAGCCATTGACATAACCTCTGCAGGTTCATATCCCACAATTTTGCCCAATAAAATAGTCCATATGCTGTTAGCTTTTCCCTGACAGCAGACATTCATTTCATAAGAAGATGGTCTAGGCTGGGTGCAGTGGCTCACACCTGTAATTTCAGCACTTTGAAGGCCAAGGTGGGTGGATTACGAGGTCAAGAGATTGAGACCATCCTGGTCAACATAGTGAAACCCCATATCTAATAAAAATACAAAAATTAGCTGGGCTTGGTGGTGTGTGCCTGTAGTCCCAGCTACTTGGGAGGCTGAGGCAGGAGAATTGCTTGATCCCAGGAGGTGGAGGTTGCAGTGAACTGAGAACGCGCCACTGTACTCCAGCCTGGTGACAGAGCGAGACTCTGTCTAAAAAAAAACGAAGATGGTCTATATATGCCATAATCATCATTAATTAATTTTCAAAGTTGCTTATAAAAGAGGTGGAGATGTTTATCTTGGCTTCCACTAAGGAAAAGGAGATATATTTTTCCACATCCAGTTTGCTTGGATCCTGGTTGGTAAAGAGGTACCAGGCCATGCAACTAAAATGATTCCATGGCAAGGATATTGCTTGATGCTAGTTGTTCATTTACAGGTAGCTTTTGAAAATGGCTGCCTCTCATTTCACCGGGCTCACAGCTGTTGCTGATGTAATTAAAGATCTAGACACTCAGATAGCTGTAAGTAGGTTTGAGGCTACTGTGGGCAAAACTTGGTGAATGTGCTTCTGATTGTCATGACCCCCAAGCTGACGTCCACAGAGTAAACCTCATGGCTCTAAGATTCAGGAGTCTCAGCTGCTTCAGGCTAGGGTGTCTGCATGTACTTAGATTGCTAACACTCCGAGAAAAATTGCTGTTGACAAAAAGGAGTTTACTTTTAACAACAGCTAAAATTTATGTTTTTGGGGCATACCCCCGACATAAACTTAAGCATGTTTGAAATGCCAAAATGAACTAGTCTGTATTGTTAAGCTTTGTGACTGATTTTTTTAAAGGATGTGATTGTGCCATGACTTATTTGAATTTAACATTATTTGATACTTTAAAAATAATGCATGTAGTACTTAACTATTTTTACAAAGTTCTCAAAAATGTCTTGCTTATTCTAGTTTATTTTTATTTTATTTTATTTTATTTCATTTTATTTTTAGACAATGTCTCACTCTGTCACCTAGGCTGGAGTGCAGTGGTGGTATGATCACAGCTCATTGCAGCCTCAGCTTCTTGGATTCAGGCAATCCTCCTCCCTTAGCCTCCCGAGTAGCTAGGACTACATGCTAAGTGAGTCCAGTTAAGTGGGATTTTTTTTTTTTTTGAGATGGAGTTTCACTCTTGTTGCCTAGGCTGGAGTGCAATTGTGCAATCTCAGTTCAACGCACCCTCTGCCTTCCAAGTTCAAGCAGTTCTCCTGACTCAGCCTCTCAAGTAGCTGGGATTACACATGCCACCATACCTGGCTAATTTTGTATTTTTAGTAGAGACAGGTTTTCTTCATGTTGGCCAGGCTGGTCTTGAACTCCCAGCCTCAGGTGATCTGCCTGCCTGGGCCTCCCAAAGTGCTGGGATTATAGGTGTGAGCCACCATGCCCGGCCCCTAAATGGTTTTTTGTTTGGTTTGTTTGTTTGTTTGCTGAGACAGAGTCTCATTCTGTTGCCCACGCTGGAATACAGTGGCATGATCTTGGCTTACTGCAAGCTCTGTCTCCCATGTTCAAATGATTCTCCTGCCTCAGCCTTCCCAGTAGCTGGGAGGGATTACAGGAGTGTGCCACCATGCCCAGCCAATTTTTTTGTATTTTTGGTAGAGATAGGGTTTCACCATGTTGGTCAGGCTCATCTCGAACTCCTGACCTCAGTTAATCCACCCGCTTTGGTCTCCCAAGGTGCTGGGATAATAGGCGTGAGCCACCACGCCCAGCCCCAGCTAAGTTTTTGCAGATAGGGCTTCCCTATGTTGCCCAGGCTATTCTGTAACTCCTGGACTCAAGTGATCCACTACAGGCACCCAAAATGCTGGGATTACAATGAGCTACTGCACCCAACCCTAGTTTATTTTTGTACGTAAGATTCCTTATTTCATTTACTTTCTTCCTTGTTTCAATTTTGTGGTCAATTTTATTTAACATTTAGAGAAGAGATGGTTTCTAAATGTCAGGTGAAAGCAAAAACCATTCTTCATTCCCTCAATTTTTAACATGTAGGTATTAAATGGTCACCATTCCATATATACTGAAGAACTCTCAAAGTCTAACAGACCTGATTTTACTTGCTTTTTTTTTTTTTTTTTTTTTGGTAGAGATGAGGTCTCACTATGTTGCCCAGGCTGGTCTTGAACTACTGGCCTCAAGTGATCTGCCCACCTGGCCCTCCCAAAGTGCTGGGATTACAGTTGTGAACCATTGCACCAGGCCTCTTTTTACTCTCAAGACTCATTCTTTATTACAGGTTCTTCTAGAACTAATTCTTATGCTTTTCTTCTTCAGTTAATTGGCCTTGGTCCTCACAGCTCCAAAAAGAAACAGGATCTCGATAAGCTCTATGAGCTGAAGTCCAAAGCTCGGCAGATTATGAACCAGTTTGGCCCCTCAGCCCTAATCAACCTCTCCAATTTCTCATCCATAAAACCGGAACCAGCCAGCACCCCTCCACAAGGCTCCATGGCCAATAGTACTACAGTGGTAAAGATACCAGGCACTCCTGGGACAGGAGGTCGTCTTAGCCCTGAAAACAATCAGGTATCATCCTCTTACTCTTTCTTCCCTGTAGCCACCTCTCACCTGTTATTTCAACCTGTAATACTTAAGAGATGTCCATCTTATATGCTGCCTTTTTCTCTTAGCCGAAAAGGTCTTTTCCGTCTTACGGATTTCTAAGTTTTTTGTTTGTTTGTTTTTTTTAAGGCTAGTCATGTTTGTTTGTTTTAATGTAAGTAGAGACTATATTTGGGCCAAATTTGAGGACCCCAACTCAGGAGACACAGATTCAGTTTGCCCTGAATATATGATCCTCTAACATTCTTTAGCAAATTATCATGTACAGTGTTTATCAAGTTTTACTGTGTTGTATATTGTTGTGTGTATGCATGTATCCATCCATCCATGCCTGTGGTAGGTTTTTTCTTTCATTTTGATAGGTGTTTTATATATATGTTAACTATATAGTTGTTAAATAAAATAATTAATTCATTTTTCCTATGATGGAAATACTCTTGGTTCTAGCCATTCCACCTTCTAGTTCATCCAATTCCTGCCATTATTAATTTTCTGCAGTGATTCTAAAATCTGCTCCCTTCTTTCTACCCATAATTCTGATTTTGCCTCCAGAGCCACAAGAAATAAGTATAATCTCTTTGAATTGGGTTTTGTAGGCTGTGAAGAAAAAAATGAATGAGTTGGCCCAGTATTTCAAGGGAATGAGTGAAGGAACTGGCAAAGGTTAATGAGGGATGGTTGGGCAGACAATCAGGAGATCAGTCTCTTTTGAATATGGAGTCTGTTATAGAAGACAGAATTTAAAATTGTATAGGTAGCGAGGCGTGGTGGCTCAAGCTTGTAATCCCAGCACTTTGGGAGGCCGAGGCGGGCGGATCACCTGAGGTTGTGTGTTCTAACCAACATGAAGATCAAGACTATCCTGGCCAACATGGTGAAACTCCATCTCTACTAAAAATACAAAATTACCTGGGCGTGGTGGCTCATGCCTGTATTCCCAGCTACTTGGGAAGCTGAGGCAGGAAAATTGCTTCAGCCTGGGAGGTGGAGGTTGCCATGAGCTGAGATCGCAACATTGCACTTCGGCCTGGGCAGCAAGAGAGAAATTCCACCTCAAAAAAAAAATATTGTCTAGGTAGGGTTATGGCAGAACATAGTGACCCTGTACTAGTAAGTTTCCATTGGAACTTTCAGGTAATATACAATCTTTGCAGATATTTAATAAAGAAGTAAAAGTATGTAATAAAAATAGTGTATTCTATAGAGTAGTAACTTGGCAGTAAGGGGACAGGATGGGTAGAAAAGGGGGTTAGACTGGGTGGATGACCAATTCTAAGACTTTTTCAATAAATCAAGACATGTAGTGAAGGCTTGAATTAGGTGATTAGGATAGAATGAAGAAGAATAGATAGATATGAGACATCATTAACTTTTATTTATTTTTTAGAGAAAGGGTTTTGCTCTGTTGCCCAGGCTAGAGTGCAATGGTATAATCATAGCTCACTATAGCCTCAAATTTCTGGGTTCAAGCAATCTTCCCACCTCAGTCTCCTGAGTAGCTAGAACCATAGGCATGCACCATCATGCTTGGTTAATTTTTTTTTTTTTTTTTTGGAGAGACAAGGTCTTGCTGTGTTGCCCAGGCTGGCCTCAAGTGATCTTCCCTCCTCTGCCTCCCAAAGTGCTGGGATTACAGATGTGAGCCACCATGCCCAGCTGAATATTCATTTTAGAAAATTATTTTCAGCCGGGCATGGTGGCTTATGCCTGTAATCCCAGCACTTTGGGAGGCCAAGTGGGCGGATCACCTGAGGTTGGGAGTTTGAGACCAGCCTGTCCAACATGGAGAAACCCTGTCTCTATTAAAACTACAAAATTGGCCAGGTGTGGTGGCACATGCCTATAATCCTAGCTACACAGGAGGCTGAGGCAAGAGAATCACTTGAACCCAGGAGGCAGAGGTTGCAGTGAGCCGAGATTAAGCCATTGCACTCCAGCCTGGGCAAAAAGAGCAAAACTCTGCCTCAAAAAAACAAAACAAAAAAAAATATTTTCTTTTTTTCTTATTTTAAAAATTATACATGGTTATTACAGAAGCTGCAGAAATACACAAAAAATAAATAGCCCGTAATTCTAATGCCACCACCATGAAATAGCCATGGTTAGCATTTTAGTGTATGTCTTTTGTTTTTTTTTTCTCTTTCGTTCTTTTTTTTTTTTTTTTTTTGTAGTGGAATTTTACTAGAAGCTTTAGAGCAAGAAAGGAAGAAAAGTGCCTAATTTTTAAAAATTATATAGATAGATGTTTATTTATTTATTTATTTTCTTTTTCTTTATTTTTATTTATTTATTTTTATAAAGATGGGGTTTCACCATGATGGACAGGCTGGTCTTGAACTCCTGACCTCAGGTGATCCACCCACCTCCACCTCCCAAAGTGCTAGGATTACAAGTGTGAGCCACTGCGCCCAGCCAGATATTTTTTTTAAATAGAGATGCAGTCTCGCCATGTTGCCCAGGCTGGTTTCAAATACCTGAGCTAAGGCAGTCCTCCCGCCTCGGCCTTCCAAAGTGCTGGTGGGATTACAGGCGTGAGCCACTGTGCCTGGCCCTTTTTTTTTTTTTTTGAAGACAGAGTCTTGCTCTGTCCTCAGGCTGTAGTGCAGTGGCGTGATCTCCGCTCACTGTAACCTTTGCCTCCCGGGTTCAAGCAATTCTCCTACCTCAGTCTCCTGAGTAGCTGGGACTACAGGGGAGCACCAACACGCCCAACAGTGTTTCAACGAGTTGGCCAGGATAGTCTTGATCTTTTGACTTCGTGATCCGCTCACCTCAGCCTCTCAAAGTGCTGGGATTATAGACGTGAGCCACTGCACCCAGCCGTTTTTGTTTTTTTTAATATGGAGTCTCACTGTGTCACCCAGGCTGGAGTGCAGTGGCATGATCTCAGCTCACTGCAACCTCCACCTTCTGGGTTCAAGTGATTCTCCTGCCTCTGCCTCCTGAGCAGCTGGGACTACAGGTGCCCACCACCATGCCCAACATATATATATATATATATTTTTTTTTTTTTTTTTTTTGAGACGGAGTTTTGCTCTTGTTACCCAGACTGGAGTGCAATGGCGCTATCTTGGCTCATCGCAACCTCCGCCTCCTGGGTTCAGTTCTCCTGCCTCAGCCTCCAAGTAGCTGGGATTACAAGCACACACCACCATGCCCAGCTATTTTTTGTATTTTTAGTAGAGATGGTGTTTCACCTTGTTGACCAGGATGGTCTCGATCTCTTGACCTCGTGATCCACCCGCCTCGGCCTCCCAAAGTGCTGTGGTTATAGGCGTGAGCCACCACGCCTGGCCAATTTTTGTATTTTTTAGTAGAGATGGAGTTTCACCATATTGGCCAGGCTGGTCTCGAACTCCTGACCTCGTGATCCGCCTGCCTCAACCTCCCAAAGTGCTCAGATTACAGGCGGAGGGCTTGCTGTATTCCCAGGCTGGAGTGTAGTGGCACAATTGTAGCTTACCGCAGTCTTCAACTCATGGCCTCAAATGATCCTCTTGTCTCAGCTTCCTGAATACCTGGGACTACAGGCACAGATCACTGTGCCTGGCTTTCTTTTGATTACTTTTTAAATTTTATTTTTATTTAATCCGAGGAGTGGGGAGGAAGGAGCTTGATCACTTTTTAATGGCATACATATGTAACATTTCCTTTATGAAGGCTGCCCTCAGAGAGTTTTAGCCTATTAAGTCAGAAACAGGGAAGTGTATAAATATGCACAATGAAAACGGGTGCATAAGGTACAATAGAGGCCAAACGAGGAAGTGGTTACTTCTCCTGGGATGGGCTAGGAAAGGCATCACAAAGAGGCACCATGAGCTGAGCACGTAGGAAGAAGGGACGTAGAGCATGTGTAGCACTTTGGGAGGCCAAGGTGGAAGAATCACTTGAGCCTAGGAGTTTAAGAGCAGGCTCCACAACATAGTGAGAGCCCATCTCTCCAAAAAAAAAAAAAAAAAAGTAGCCACGTGTGGTGGCATGTGCCTATGGTCCCAGCTACCTGGGAAGCTTAGGTGGGAGAGCTTGTCAATCAAGGTGACAGTGAACCATGATCATGCCAGTGCACTCCAGTGGGCAATAGAGCAAGACCATGTCTCAAAAAAAAAACAAAAAACACTTGCCTAAAGGCAAGGGGCATGGTACAATTTGTGGTGGTCAGAGAATTGCAAATTTCTTCATGTAGATAGGCACAGTGAGAAAAATACATGAGGGTGAAATATACTGTCTGACAGCTGGATGCTGGCCTGTCTTCAAACTGCTCTTTCCACCTTTCCTTAAGTTACTTCTCTCTTGACAGTATAGTCTTATAGCAGCATAGTCAGGTAGGGCAGACTGTGAACTCTTTGGAAAGTGGAAACTAAACCCAACAATTTGACAGCCTTTCTTCATTACATGGTAATGATCTATTTTGTTTCCTTAATACCTGGCTGAAAAATCTTTTCCCAATTAACTTTAGGTATTGACCAAGAAGAAATTGCAGGACTTAGTAAGAGAAGTGGATCCTAATGAGCAGTTGGATGAAGATGTGGAGGAGGTAAGGTGGGGTTGGGTACCCCAGAAACTGGTCCCTGAGAACTGGTATAGCATAGTGGTTAAGAGCACAGACAGGCTAGATGCAGTGACTCATGCCTTTTGAGAGACTGAGGCAGGAAGATTGCTGGAGCCCAGAAGTTCAAAACCAGCCTGGGCAATATAGTGAGACATTGTATCTGCAAAAAATTACAAAATTAGCTGAGCCTGGTGGTGTGCCCCTGTAGTTCCAGCTACTAGGGAGGCTGAGGTGTTCTTAAACCTGGGAGGCCAAGGTTGTAGTAAGACAAAATTGTACCACTGCACTCCAGCCTGGGTGACAGAGCATGATCCTGTTTCCAAAAAAAAAGAGGGCCAGGTATGGTGGCTCACACCTGTAATCCTAACACTTTGGGAGGCTGAGGTGGGCAGATCATGAGGTCAGGAGCTGGAGACCAGCCTGGCCAACATAGTGAAATCCCATCTCTACTAAAAATATAAAAATTAGCCAGCCATTGTAGCACACGCCTATAGTCCCACCTATTTAGGATACAGGCAAGAGAATCTCTTGAACCCGGGAGGCAGAGGTTGCAGTGAGCCAAGATCACGCCACTGCACTCTAGCTTGGGCAACAGAGTGAGACTTCATCTCAAAAAAAAAAAAAATAAAGGCTGGGCACAGTGGCTCATGCCTGTAATCCCATCACTTTGGGAGGCTAAAGTGGGTGGATCACCTGAGGTCAGGAGTTTGAGACCAACCTGGCCAACAAGATAAAACCCTGTCTCTACTAAAAATGCGCAAATTAGCCAGGTGTGGTGGTGGGCGCCTATAATCCCAGCTGCTTGGGAGGCTGAGAGGAGAATCGCTTGAACCCGGGAGGCTGAGGTTTCAGTAAACTGAGATCATGACACTGTACTGTAGCCTGAGTGACAGAGAAGGACTCTGTCTCAAAAAATAATAAAATAAGAGCAGAGACAAATGTATTTGATTCTTGGCCCTTCTATATACCAGCTGTGTTGCTGTAGACAAGTCACATAAGTTTTTGAGACTTCGGTTTCTCCTATATTAGTAGCATATGGACGTTGTTTACCTGCAGGGTTATTGCAATTTATACACATCTAGGAGAATGCCCAATGCTTTACACCCAATAACTGCTGCTACTTTTGCCTGTTAAAAAGGCATAGTCTGTTGCTCATAGGCAATCACTTTCAACAAGTTTAGCTGTTTCTGTAACATTCTTCTGTATTTCTAAGTAATATACTTAAAGAGATATTATTTGACCCATTAATTTTTATAATATTCTCTCTTTTTTTTTTTTTTTTTTTTTTGAGACAGTGACAGAGTTTTGCTTTTGTTGCCCAGGCTGGAGTACAATGGCATAATCTTGGCTCACTGCAACCTCCACCTCCTGGGTTCAAGCAATTCTCCTGCTTCAGCCTCTAGAGTAGCTGAGATTATAGGCATGCCCCACCACACCTGGCTAATTTTGTATTTTGAGTAGAGATAGTTTATTCATGTTGGACAGGCTGGTCTCAAATTCCCGACCTCAGGTGATCTGCCCACCTTGGCCTCCCAAAGTGCTGGGATTACAGGCATGAGCCACTGTGCCTGGCCATCTGTATAATATTCTATTGACTTCCTGTTACCGTAGATGAGAATTTTGTTATACCTCTCACAAATGTGCCATATAACTTTCTTTGTTTGTTGTTTTTGTTTTTGTTTTTTTGATACAGAATCATGCTCTGTTGCCCAGGCTGGAGCATAGTGGCGCGATCTCAGTTTACCACAACCTCTGCCTCCCAGGTTTAAGTGATTCTCCTGCCTCAGCCTTCGGAGTAGCTGACTATAGGCACATGCTACCACTCCTGGCTAATTTTTGTATTTTTAGTAGAGATGGGGTTTTGCCATGTTGGCCAGGTTGGTCTCGGATTCCTGACCTCAGATGATCCATCCACTTCACTCAGCCTCCCAAAGTGCTGAGATTACAGGCATGAGCTACCATGACTGCTGGCCTATATAACTTTCCTTATCTTTTTTTTTTTTTTTTTTGGGACAGAGTCTTGCTCAGTCGCTCAGGCTTGAGTGCAGTGGCACAATATTTGCTCACTGCAAACTCCATCTCCCAAGTTCAAGCGATTCTCTCACCTCAGCCTGCCGAGCAGCGGGGATTACAGGTGCAAGCCACCATAGCTGACTGATTTTCATATTTTTATTAGAGATGGGGTTTCACCATGTTGGCCAGCCTGGTCTCGAACTTCTGACCTCAAGTGATCCATCCACCTCAGCCTCCCAAAGGTCTGGGATTACAGGTGTGAGCCACCACACCCAATCCTGGCTATTCATTCTTAAAGAATGACCCACTGCAACTGGGCATGGTGGCTTCTGCCTGTAATCCCAGCACTTTAGGAGGCTGAAGTGGGTGGATCACCTGGTGTCAGGAGTTCAAGACCAACCTGGCCAACATAATGAAACCCCATCTCTACTAAAAATACAAAAAATTAGCCGGGGTTGGTGGCACACACCTGTAGTCCCAGCTACTCAAGAGGCTGAGGTAGGAGAATCACTTGAACCCAGGAATTGGAGGTTGCAGTGAGCCATGGTTGCACCGTTGCACTCCAGCCTGGGCCACAGAGTGAGACCCCCCATCTCAAAAAAAAAAAAAAGAATGACTTACTGAAAACCTGATTTGAAGCATAATTGATGGATTTGGCCCAGTGATATATAGGTAAATGTTTAACAACCTGCTCTTCGGAGATAAAGACCTGATTTGAAGTACTTTATGATTTCTGCAGTGTAACTATTCCTCCCAACATGACATCACTGAATAAAAACTTGGGTGTAAAGAGGTACATAATTGACTTTTATGAGCTGGTCTCAGTTCATGCTAGCAGACCACAGATGTTACTTCAGAGTAATTTGGTCCACAAGTCAACCTTCCTAATGGAAGATTCCCTAAATGTCAGTATCTGTAAGTCTTTTCTCTGGAATCAGTCAATATCTCCAGAGAAAAGTCTTCCAGGCTCCTATCTGAAGGGTTGGTTTATCCTTTAGCTTCTCTATTTTTTTTGAAATGGAGTCTCGCCTTGTTGCCCAGGCTGGAGTGCAATGACATGGTCTCAGCTCTCTGCAACCTCCGCTTCCTGGGTTCAAGTGATTCTCCTGCCTCAGCTGCTCGAGTAGCTGGGATTACAGTGCCTGCCACCATGACCAGCTAATATTTGTATTTTTAATAAAGACAGGGTTTCACCATATTGGTCAGGCTGGACTTGAACTCCTGACCTCAGGTGATTCACCTGCCTTGGCCTCCCAAAGTGCTAGGATTACAGGTGTGAGCCACCACGCCCAGCCAGTTTCCTTTTTTTTTTGATGACAGGGTCTCATTATTACCCAGGCTGGAGTTCAGTGGCATGATCATAGCTCACTGTGGCCTCGACCTCCTGGGCTCAAGTGATCCTTTCACCTCAGCCTTCCAAGTAACTGTGGCTATGGTGTGTGCCACCATATCTGGCTAATTTTTAAATCTTTTGTAAAGATAAAGTCTTGCCATGTTGCCCAGGCTGATCTTGAACTCCTGGGCTCAAGCAGCCCACCCACCTTGGCCTCCCAAAGTGGTGGGATTACAGGCTCCATCTCTATAAAAATTTTAAAAATTAGCTAGGCCTGATGACATATACCTGTAGTCTCAGCTACTTGGGAAGCTGAGATGGAAGGACTGCTTGAGCCCAAGAGGTTTAGACTGCAGTGAGCCTTGATTGGGCCACTGTACTTCAACCTGGGCAATAGAGGGAGACCCTGTTTCAAAAACAAACAAAAAAAAGTTATTGGTTCTTTTCTATGGTAAGGCTCAGGAAAAAAAAGTTTATTGGAAATTCTTGCCCATTCAGATTTTCTCTTCTGTTGCTGATGTCTTTGTGGATTAATATTTTATTTTATTTTATTTATTTTGAAATGGTGTCTCACTCTGTCGCCCAGGCTGGAGTTCATTGGTATGATCTCTGCTCACTGCAACCTCTGCCTCTCAGGTTCAAGCCTCCCAAGTAGCTGGGACTAGAGGCACACGCCACCATACCTGGCTAATTTTTGTAATTTTAGTAAAGAAGGGGTTTCATCATATTGGTCAGGCTTGTCTCAAATTCCTGACCTCAAGTGATCCACTTGCTTTGGCCTCCCAAAGTGCTGGGATTACAGGCGTGAGCCACTGCACCTGGCAATAAGTTGGTTTTTTTTTTTAACTGTTTATTTTAATGCACTGTGGGAGGGATAGGCAGTAATTTTTGGAGTTGATCTGCTGTTTAATCAGAAGTCTTTCTTTTAGATGGTATCCATTTGGTTCCCACAGTAAAGATGACACTGAGTTAATGACCAGAATAAGGAATTTTGTGTCTATGGTTGTAATTTTAGTTTGTTTTTGTTTGTCACTAGAGGAAGCCATGGGAAATATATTGACTGATAAAAGTCTCAGTTTTGCCAGGCACAGTGGCGCATGCCTGTGATCCCAGCACTTTGGGAGGCCAAGGTGGGCAGATCACGAGGTCAGAAATTAGAGGTCAGCCTGACCAACATGATGAAACCCCATCTCTACTAAAAATATAAAAATTAGCCAGGCGTGGTGGTGTGTGCCTGTAATCCTAGCTGCTTGAAAGGCTGAGGCAGCAGAATCATTTGAACCTGGGAAGCAGAGGTTGCAGTGAGCCCAGATTATGCTACAGCACTCTAGCCTAGGCAACAGAGTGAGACTCCGTCTCAAAAATAAATAAATAAATAAGTAACCTCAGTTTTTTTTCATGTATTTATTTATTCATTTATTTTTGAGACAAGGTCTCTGTCACCCAAGCTGGAGTGCTGTGCCACAATCACCGCTCACTGCAGTCTTGATTAACTGGATTCAAGCAAGCCTCACACTTCAGCCTCCCAAGTAGCTGGGACTACAAGTGCATGCCTCCAAACTCAGCTAATCTCTGTATTTTTTGTAGAGATAGGGTTTTGCCATCTGTGTTGCCCAGGCTAATCTTGAACTCCAGAGCTGAAGCAAACCATCTGCCTCAACCTCCCAAAGTGCTGGGATTATAGGAGTGAGCCATTGTGCCTGGCCTCATGTAGATGATTATCTTCAGAATTCTCATCCTTCTCTTCACACAGTCCAATAATAATTGATAGTGATGTGGAAAGAACTCAGGATTAAGACTCAGAACCCTTTAGGTGGAATCCTGGTTCCTCTTGTTTCTTTCTTTTTAATTAATTAATTAACTTATTTATTATTTTTATTATTGTTATTATTTTGAGACAGAGTCCTGCTCTGTCACCCAGGCTGGAGTGCAATGGTGCGGTCTTGGCTCACTGCCACCTCAGACTCCCAGGTTTAAGCAATTCTCTTGTCTCAGCCTCCCAAGTAGCTGGGATTACAGGCATGAGCCACCATGTCTGGTTTTTTGGTTTTTTTTTTTTTTTTTTTGAGACGGAGTTTCGCTCTTGTCACCCAGGCTGGAGTGCCATAGTACCATCTTGGCTCACTGCAACCTCTACATCCTGGATTCAAGAGATTCTCCTGCCTCAACCTCCAGAGTAGCTGGGATTACATATGCCTGCCACCATGCCCAGCTAATTTTGTATTTTTGGTGGAAACAGGGTTTCATTATTTTGGCTGGTCTCAAACTCCTGACCTCAGGTGATCCACTTGCCTGACCTTCCAAAGTGCTGGGATTACAGGAGTGAGCCACCGCACCTGACCCTTAGAGACTGGGTTTCAACATGTTGGTCAGGCTGGTCTCGAACTTCTGACCTCAAATGATCTGCCCACATCAGCCTCCCAAAGTTGTGGGATTATGAGTGTGAGCCACCATGTCCACCCTCAATTTATTTATTTTTAAATACAGATGAGGGTCTTTCAGTATTGTTGGGTTGGTCTCAAACTTCTGACCTCAAATGATTCTTCCAACTCAGCCTCCCAAAGTGCTGGGATGACAGGCATGCACCACTGCACCTGGCCTTCTGCTTTCTCCTTACATGGCCAGGAACAAATTAGTCTCTCTGAGTCTCTAAAATCCTCTATAGAATGAATAAAATCCATGTCCAATTTTCTTCATAGGATAATTACAAGGACTAAGTGAGATAATAGAAATAAAAGTGCTTTTAAGAGTCTGTGAGTGAGGAATTCAAATGATTCACTTTTATTTTTCCACCAATAAAGATATGAAAGGTAGGGATTGTGATAGTTGATCACTGCCAGGTAAAAAGTATATGCTGAGGCCGGGCGCTGTGGCTTAAGTCTGTAATCCCAGCACTTTGAGAGGCTGAGATGGGCAGATCACCTGAGGTCAGGAGTTTGAGACCAGCCTGGCCAACTTGGTGAAACCCTATCTCTAAAAATACAAAAATTAGCTGGGTGTGGTGGCGGGCACCTGTAATCCCAACTACTTGGGAGGCTGAGCAAGAGATTTGCTTGAACCCAGGAGGTGGAGGTTGCAGAAAACCAAGATCATGCCATTGCATTCCAGCCTGGGCAACAAGAGCGAGATTCCATCTCAAAGAAAAAGAAAGTATATGCTCAGAAAGGTGTGAGTTATACTCAACCTGGGTAATGTTTTTCTTTTGTCCTTCTCATTCCTCTTCCCCACCTTAGCCCAAATGCTAATTCCAGCCTTCTACTAGAAATCCTGACTAGATATATAACCTAAGCAGAAAGCAGTTGTCCCACCACCAGAAGCCTATTTGCCAATGTCGTGGTGACTCTCCCCACTTTACCTTCCCCAGATGCTGCTGCAGATTGCTGATGATTTTATCGAGAGTGTGGTGACAGCAGCCTGTCAGCTTGCACGGCATCGCAAGTCCAGCACTCTGGAGGTGAAAGATGTCCAGCTACATTTAGGTATGTGGTTTTGTTTCTCCCTGAAATATGTATTCACCTGCTGCTTCAGGACTGCCAGGGGAAGTGTAGTCAGAGGAACCTTCATGCCAGAACCAGACTTTTGGGCACTGGGATTTATGTATTAATTCAATAACAGCACTAAATAGAAAAGAAAAATCCATCCATGGTAGGGGGAATGAGCGCAGGCATGGATTTGAAACCAGATTCTGCCACTTTCCAGCTGTATCAGCCTATTTTTACTACCTAGTTTCTCTTAGACTCTGTTTCCTCATTTGTAAAGTGAGGATCATAGTCTCCTCCTTACAGGATAAATCTGATAATTATAGACTATGTCTGTAAAGTGACTGGCACTGGGCCTGCACAAAGTAGGACCTGGTAAGTATAGGCACTGTTATGTCTCTACCATTCAAATAAAACTGTTCCTCAGTGTTCCCTTACAGTTTTAGTCTATTTATGCATTTTTCCCCAAGGTGATAATCATAATATACATACAACTTTTTTTTTCTTTTGTTTTTAAGACAGGGTTTCATCATGTTGGTCAGGCTGGTCTTGAACTTCCCGACCTCAGGTGATCTGCCTGCCTTGGCCTCCAAAGTGCTTGTATTACAGGCGTGAGCCACCATGCCCGGCCTACATACAACTTTATGTTGTTTGTTTGTTTGTTTGTTTTGAGACGGAGTTTCGCTCTTGTTACCCAGGCTGGAGTGCAATGGCGTGATCTCTGCTCACCGCAACCTCCACCTCCTGGGTTCAGGCAATTCTCCTGCCTCAGCCTCCTGAGTAGCTGGGATTACAGGCACACACCACCATGCCCAGCTAATTTTTGTATTTTTTAGTAGAGACAGGGTTTCACCATGTTGACCAGGATGATCTCGATCTCTTGACCTCGTGATCCACCCGCCTCAGACTGCCAAAGTGCTGGGATTACAGGCGTGAGCCACCGCGCCCAGCCTTTTTTTTTTTTTTTTTTGAGATGGAGTTTCGCTCTTGTTACCCAGGCTGGAGTGCAATGGCATGATCTCAGCTCACCGCAACCTCCGCCTCCTGGGTTCAGGCAATTCTGCTGCCTCAGCCTCCTGAATAGCTGGGATTACAGGCATGTGCCACCATGCCCAGCTAATTTTTTGTGTTTTTAGTAGGGTTTCACCATGTTGACCAGGATGGTCTCGATCTTTTTGACCTTGTGATCCACCCGCCTCGGCCTCCCAAAGTGCTGGGATTACAGGCGTGAGCCACTGTGCCCGGCAGACAACTTTATATTCTTAATAAACACTAAATTTGAGTTTGGGTTTTTCTGGGAGATACTTAGCTAATAGTGATAACCATAATCACTTGGAAATGAATAAGCAGCCCTCTGCATTGGTTACAATGTGATCAAAAGAAAGAGATCAGTATATATATGTATATATATAATTTTAATTATTATTATTATTTTTTTGGGACAGAGTCTTGCTTTGTCACCAGGCTGGAGTGCAGTGGTGCAATCTCAGCTCACTGCAACCTCTGCCTCCTGGGTTCAAGTGATTCTTTCGCCTCAGTCTCCCAAGTAGCTGGGACCACAGGTGTGTGCCACCACATTTGGCTAATTTTTTTGTATTTTTAGTAGAGATGGGGTTTCACTGTGTTGGCCAGGATGGTCTCGATCTCTTGACCTCATGATCCGCCCACCTCGGCCTCCCAAAGTACTGGAATTACAATAATTTTAATTTTTAAAATTGTGTTTTTTTGATTATTTATTTATTTATTTGTTTTGAGACAGAGTCTTGCTCTGTCACCCAGACTGGAGTACAGTGACATGATCTCAACTCACTGCAACCTCCACCTCCTGGGTTCAAGCGACTCTCCTACTTCAGCTTCCTGAGTAGCTCAGACTACAGGCACCTGCCACTGCACCAGGCTAATTTTTGTATTTTTAGTAGAGACAGGGTTTTGCCATATAGGCCAGGCTGGTCTCGAATTCCTGACCTTGTGATCCACCTGCCTCGGCCTCCTAAAGTGCTGGGATTACAGGCATGAGCCATTGCGCCTGGCTATTTTTTTATTTTTTGAGATGGAGTCTCTCTCTGTCACCCAGCTGGAGTGCAATGGCGCTATCTCAGCAACCTCCGCCTTCTGGGTTCAAGTGATTCTCCTGTCTCAGCCTCTCAAGTAGCTGGGACTATAGACCTGTACCACCACACCTGGCTAATTTTTGTATTTTCAGTAGAGATGGAGTTTCATCATGTTGGTCATGCTGGTCTCACACTCCTAGCCTCAGCTGATTCACCTGCTTTGGCCTCCCAAAGTGCTAGGATTACAGTCATGAGCCACCATGCCTGGCCCAGTCTATACCTATAGAGACAGTCAGGCCACATGAATGAGACAGACAATATTAAGGGATTTGGTGCAGATCAGCCCATGAATAATTACTGAAAGGCTTCCTTCACAGTGTCAAGAAGCTATTGCCTTCGGGAGACATTGGTAGTTTAGGTAAAGTAACACACTTTGGTTAATATTGCTGGTATATAGAGAAAAGGATAGATATTCCAGTTATCCATCAATGTGTAATAGACCACCCCACAACAGTGGCTTAGCACAATAACAGTTGTTGATTTTATTCATGAATCTAGGGGTTGAATGGGCTCAGCTAGTTTTACTATGTTAGGCAGTGGCTGGGCCTGAGATTGTCTTGAAGGAAGGCATACTAGTTTCCTAGGGTTACCTTAACAAAGTATCATAAACATGGCAGCTTAAAACAACAAAAAATTTTATTTCACAGTTCTGAGGCCAGAAATCTGAAATCTAAGTGTCGGCAGGGTCATGTTCCCTCTGCTGCCCCTAGGGAAGAATCTATTCTTGCCTCCTCCCAGCCTCTGGTGGTAGCTGGCAATCCTTGGTTTTCCATGGCTTGTAGCTGCAGAACTCCAGGCTCTGCTTTGGTCTTCACATGTCCTTTTCCCTGTGTGTCTCTATCTCTGTGTCTCTTCTCTTCTTCTTATAGAATACCAGTCATATTGGATTAAGGGCTAACCCTACTCCAATATGATCTCATTTTAACCAATTTCATCTGTAACATCCTATTTCCAAATAAGATCATATTCTGAAGGTACTTAAGGTTAATACTGCAATGTATCTTTTTGAGGGACACAATTTAAATAACCCATAATGGAAGGCTTCATATGTCTTCCACGTCTGATGCCTGGTCTAAGAACATTGAAAAAGCTAGGATTCTGCAGGTGTCTTCCTCCATCCTTCCCACCCTCCCATTCCCCTTCACATTCCCCGATCCTACCCTTCCCATCCTCTCCATCCACCATCTTTCCATATGGTCTTATGCTTTAGCAGTCCCAGGATAACTAGACTTCTTACATGACAGCTAAAGACTCCCAGAATTAGCATCCCATGAGCACCTGGCAGAAAACGTCATGGCCAGCTGGGCGCGGTGGCTCACACCTGTAATCCCAGCACTTTGGGAGGCCGAGGCGGGTGGATCATGAGGTCAAGAGATTGAGACCATTCTGGTCAACATGGTGAAACCCCATCTCCACTAAAAATATTAGCTGGGCACGATGGCGCACGCCTGTAGGCTCAGCTACTTGGGAGGCTGAGGCAGGAAAATTGCTTGAACCCAGGAGGTGGAGGTGAGCCGAGATTGCACCATTGCACTCCAGCCTGGGTAATAAGAGCCAAACTCTGTCTCAAAAAAAAAAAAGAAAACTTCATGGCCTTTTCTAACCTAGTCTTCAGCATCACTCTTGGTGAATTCTGTTCTTTGAGGCAGTCAGACCTGTCCAGCTTCAGCAGGAGGGAACACAGACTCCATCTCTTGATAGCAGGAGTGTGAAGGAATTTATAGACATGTTTTACAACCACCACTAGGGGCCTGGCATGGTGGCTTATACCTGTAACCTCTAGCATTTTTGGAAGCTGAGGCAGGAGGATTGTTTGAGCCCAGAAGTTCAAGACTAGCCTGGGTAACATAGTGAGACCTCATCTCTACAAAAGATTTAAAAATTTGCTCATGCATGGCTAAGAGGAAAAAAATATAAAAAAATAAATAATTTTAAAAAAGATTTAAAAATTAACCAGGCATGGTGGTGTGTACCTGTAGTCCCAGCTACTCAGGAGGCTAAGGCAGGAAAATCACTTGAGCCCCGAAGGTCAAGGGTGCAGTGAGCTGTCATCATCACACTGCACTCTAGCCTGGGTGACCCTGCCTCTAAATAAATATATAAGTAAATACATACATACATTAAAAAACAACTCGTTTGGGTGTGGTCCTGTGATCCTGGCACTTTGGGAGGCCAAGGTAGGTGGATCACTAGGTCAGGGGTCGAAACCAGCCTGGTCAAGATAGTAAAACCACCTGTCTATTAAAAATACAAGTTAGCCAGATGCAGTGGTGGGCACCTGTAGTCCCAACTACTTGGAAGTCTGAGGCAGGAGAGTTGTTTGACCCCAAGAGGTGGAGATTGGAGTGAGCTGAGATCATGCCACTGCACTCCAGCCTGGGTGACAGAGGGAGACACTGTCTCCAAAAAAAAAAAAAAATCAATCCACCACAACACAAATTCATAGAGACACAAAGAATAAGTAAGCCAGGGCTGGGCATGGTGGCTCACACCTGTAATCCCAGCACTTTGAGAGGCCAACGCAGGTGGATCACAAGGTCAGGAGTTCGAGACAAGCCTGGCCTACATAAACCCCTTCTCTACTAAAAATATAAAAATTAGCTGGGCGTGGTGGTGCACACCTGTAATCCCAGCTACTCAGGAGGCTGAGGCACAGGAATTGCTTGAACCAGGGAGACAGAGGTTGCAGTGAGCCAAGATCGCACCACTGGACTCTAGCCTGGATGACAGAGTGAGACTCTGTCTCAAAAAAAAAAAGTAGAATAAGTAGAACACTGTTTCCAGGGCTGAGGGGGAAGAGGGTAGAGGGAGTTACTTAATGGATATAGAGTTTCAGTTTGGGAGGATGAAAAAGTTCTGGAGATGGATGATGGTGATGGTTGTATAACAAACGTGAATTGGGGCCAGGTGCAATGGTTCATGCCTGTAATCCCAATGCTTTGGGAGGTAGAGGTGGGCGGATCACCTGAGGTCAGGTGTTCGAGACCAGCCTGGCCAACATGGCGAAGCTCTTCTCTACCAAAAATACAAAATTTAGCTGGGCGTGGTGGTACGCACCTGTAGTCCCAGCTACTTGGGAGGCTGAGGCAGGAAAATTGCTTGAATCCAGGAGTTGTAGGATGTAGTGAGCCAAGATTGCGCCACTGAATCCAACGCGGGTAGCAGAGCAATAGCCCATCTCAAAAAAAAAAAAAAAAGTTAGAGGAGATAATTTATATAGAATGCTTTGCACAATGTTGCTTTGACCATGCATTTACTACATTTCATTAACTAAATGATTGCTGTTACTATTAAGATTATGTAGAATATGCCAGGCACTGTGGCTCATGCCTATAATCTCAGCACTTTGGGAGGCTGAGTCAGGCAGATCACGAGGTCAGGAGATTGAGACCATCCTGGCTAACATAGTGCAACCCCATCTCTGCTAAAAAAAAAACAAACAAAAAAAATTAGCCAGGCATGGTAGCATGAGTCTGTAGTCCCAGCTACTTGGGAGGCCGAGGCAGGGGAATTGCTTGGAGGCAGGAGAATTACTTGGACCCAGGAGGCGGAGGTTGCAGTAAGCCAAGATCATGTCATTGGACTCCATCCTGGGTGACAGAGCAAGAATCCATCTCAAAAAAAAAAAAACAACGCAGGGCACAGTGGCTTATGCCTGTAATCTCAGCACTTTGGGAGTCCAAGGCAGCCAGATCACCTGAGATCAGGAGTTTAAGACCAGCCAGACCAACATGGAGAAACCCCATCTCTACTCAAAATACAAAAATTAGCCAGGTATAGTGGTACACGCCTATAGTCCCAGGTACTCAGAAAGCTGAGGCAGGAGAATTGCTTGAACCCGGGAGGCAGACGTTGTGGTGAGCCGAGATTGCACCATTGCACTCCAGCCTGGGCAACAGCCTGGGCAACAAGAGAGAGACTCTGTCTCAAAAAAAAAAAAAAAAAAAAAAAGATTATATAAAATATATGTATACACACATAAAGTACCCAGGTATACAGTTACAGATACACATACATGTATATATTCATGCCTGGTAGCTACTCTCTTTATTTTTTATATTTTTATTCATTTTTTTTGAGAAAGTTTCATTCTCATTGCTCAGGCTGGAGTACAAGGGCAAAATCTTGTTTCACTGTAACCTCTGCCTTCCAGGTTCTCCTGCCTCAGTCTCCAGAGTATCTGGGATTACATAGGCACCTTCCACCATACCTGGCTAATTTTATTTATTTATTTTTTTTTTTGAGACAGAGTCGTGCTCTCTTGCCCAGGCTGGAGTACAATGGCATGCTCTTTGGCTCACCGCAACTTCCGCCTTCCGGGTTCAAGCAATTCTCCTGCCTCAGCCTCCCAAGTAGCTGAGATTACAGGTGCGCACCACAATGCCCGGCTAATTTTTATTTTTTTTCTGAGAAATGGCAGAATGGGCATGTGTATATACATACACATTATCCCAGGACTGCAAAGTAGACACAAGTGGTAATTGAGCCCAGCAAGCAGTTTAGATGGACTACATTCCTCATTCTAGCTAAGGAGAGATCAAATAAGAAGGGAGTGCTAAGGGAGAGCAAGACCCCACAGCCTTCCAAAGATCCCCTATGGTCCAAAGTCCTCTGACCATCTCAGTCGGCTGCTTTGTTTTATGTTGGCAGTGGAGGGACAAGGTGAGAGGAGCCAGGGGTAGTCATGAACACCAGTGGGTTCTGCCCTGGGCAGCTCCCCACCTTCTTTGAGGGAGTACTGTGTCTCAGCTCCAGCAGTCTCAACTGGGAAGACCCAGGGCTCTTGCTCTTTTCTCTAGTCCCTGGAAGACAAGGTCCAGCTAAGGTAGAGTATGTAGTCAGTGACCAGGCAGGCTGGATTGGGGGGTTACTGCCTGGAGGACGGGATCTTGTATTCTTCGGAAGATGGCTGGGAAATTCTTCCCTCCGTTACGTAGAACTTTCTTCCCCTCCTCAGTTGAGATGCCTAGATGTCCCACAATAGGGTCTTCACTCAGGTCCTCCAGGGGCACACGCTCAAACAGCAGGTGCTCTTCAAAATGAGTGCTCATCCAGTCATGTAGCTCCAGCACATCGGTTATGGTATACATCAGCCCCCCAACTCTCAGCACATAGGCATATTCTGCTAGCAGTGTGGGACTGATGATTCGCCACTTGTGCTTTGTCCGCTTGAAATGTGGGTCGGGGAAGAGGAAGAACATCTTTATCAGCTGGCCCTTGTAGAAGTTAGGAAGGTGCTTCATGGCATTGCTACGGAGACAGGCGATGTTCTGGAAGCCACCTCCGGGAGCTGCGCATAGGACCCGAATCCGGTCTTGAACATAGTCTGAGACCTTCACCCGGATCTCCAGACCCAGAATCAGTGTGTCTGGGAACAGCGGTGACAGTTCCACTAATGGGCCACCATAGCCACAGCCTGTCTGCAAACTCCACTTGGGCCTGAGCTCTCTTTTCTTTCTCATCCTTTGGGTCATCGTGGCTCTGATTTTGAGTGAGTGGAGTGAAGAACTCTGGGTATAGCTCAGATCAGTCCATCTCCTCTTGCTTCACAGGGCAGCGCAGCGTGTGGTCCGCCATGGGGTTGGAGTGAGCATGTTGCCGGTAGTAGCGCTTCTGGGCGGTGGGGCCTCTGCTCCAGCAGCGTTCCAAGTCTCTGCTGCCATGATCCCAGTCCGGGGTTTCTCTCTAATTTTTATATTTTTAAGTAGAGATGGGGTTTCACCATGTTCATCAGGCTGGTCTCAAACCCCTGACCTCGTGATCCACCCACCTGAGCCTCCCAAAGTGCTGGGATTACAGGCGTGAGCTACCGCGCCCGGCCTTACTCTCTTTCTTTAAAGTGACTTTGCACACTTTATCTACTTTTTGTTGACTGTAAAGTTTATTCCTAGAGAATAAACTTTGTCTGCAACCTCTGGCTCACTGTAACCTCTTCTGCCCGGGTTCAAGTGATTATTGTGCCACAGCCTCCCAAGTAGCTGGGATTACATGCACTCACCACCACTCCTGGCTAATTTTTGTGTTTTTAGTAGGGACAGGGTTTCACCATGTTGGCCAGGCTGGTCTCGAACTCCTGGCCTCAAGAGTTCCATCTGCCTCTGCCTCTGCCTCCCAAAGTGCTGGGATTATAGATGAGAGTCACTGTGCCTGGCCCTTTTTATTTTGTTTTGAGGCAGGATCTTCTTTGTTTGAGGCAGGTGCAATTATGGCTCACTGCATCTTCTACCTCCTGGGTTCAAGTGATCCTCCTGCCTTAGACTCCCAAGTAGTTGTAACTACAGGTACACACCACCACATTTAGCTAGTTTTTGTTTTTGTTTTTTTTTGAGATGGAGTCTTGCTTTGTTGCCCAGGCTGGAGTGTAGTGGTACCATCTTGGCTCATTGCAACCTCTGCCTCACAGGTACAAGTGATTCTCCTGCCTCAGCCTCCCAAGTAGCTGGGATTACAGGTACCTGCTACCACACCCGGCTAATTTTTGGTATCTTTAGTAGACACAGGGTTTCACCATGTTGCCCAGGCTGGTCTTGAACTCTTGATCTCAGGTGATCCACCCACCTCAGCCTCTCGAAGTGCTGGGATTACCAGCGTGAGCCACCACTCCCCAACCAGCTAATATTTTTATATTTAGTAGTGAGGAAGTCTCACTATTTTGGTTAGGCTTCTCTGAAACTCCTGGGCTCAAGCAGTCCTCCCATCTTGGCTTCCCAAAGTGGTGGGATTACAGAAGTGAGCCACCACACCTGGCCAGTGTCACTTTCAAATACTAATAACTTAAATTGTTAGCAGAAGGTTTCAGAGATTCTGTTTTCAAAGAAGTATTGTGCCAGGTGTTGTGGCTTATGCCTGTAAATATCGGGTTTGCTTAAAATGCAGTACACCTTTATATGGGAGTTTAGGGGGCCAAGCAGCTATACCAGTTACTAAGTGGAATAAATAAAGTCCCTATCCTCTGGGAACTTCTTGTGATAATCTTAGGAGGAGGATAATATCCAGGGACACCAGGGCATGGAACTGTGTTGTGGACATACCTCTATCTATATCCATACCTATTTATTTATTGCAGGCTCTGGGCTGAACACTTCACATGCATTATGTCGTTGAATACCCCAACCACCCTCTCAGGTGGTTATTATTATTGTTATGGCTACATAAAAAATGAAGAAACTGGCTGGGCGCAGTGGCTCACGCCTATAATCCCAGCACTTTGGGAGGCCAAGGTGGGTGGATCACGAGGTCAAGAGATTGAGACCATCCTGGTCAACAAGGTGAAACCCGTCTCTACTAAAAATACAAAAATTAGCTGGGCATGGTGGTGCGCACTTGTAGTCCCAGCAACTCTGGAGGCTGAGGCAGGAGAATTGCTTGAACTCAGGAGGCGGAGGTTGTGGTGAGCCGAGATCCTGCCATTGCACTCCAGTCTGGGTAACAACAGTGAAACTCCATCTCAAAAAAAAAAAAAAAAAAGAAGAAGAATAAACTGAGACCCAGTGTCATACAGCTGATCAGTGAAGCAGCAGACCTCAGCTTTGGCTCTTGATTTCAGAACGCTTGAAGTGCCTTCATGTCCTTAAGTGTGAGAGGGGTTACTTTGAGTTTTAGGAATAAGACAACTGAAGAAAGAAATGATGTTTATTTTCTGTGGATTAGATAAGCTGCATGGAAACCCCAGGGCTCAGCATTCACAGCTTTGACTACCTCTTTTTCTTTGCAAACAGCTTGAATTTAGTCCTTTAAAAACCTTGGAGGATCAGCTGGGCATGGTGGTTTAGACCTGTAATCCCAGCACTTTGGGAGACTGAGGCGGGTGGATCACAAGGTCAGGAGTTTGAGACCAGCCTGGCCAAGGTGGTGCAACCTTGTCTCTACTAAAAATACAAAAAAATTAGCCAGACCTGGTCGTGGGCAGAGAATTGCTTGAATTCGGAAGGTGGAGGTTGCAGTGAGCTGAGATTGTGCCACTGCACTCCAGCCTGGGCAACAGAGCAAGATTCTGTCTCAAAAACAAAACAAACCTTGGAAGAAGCCAGGTATGGAGGCTGATGCCTGTAATATCAGTACAACACTTTAGGAGGCTGAGGCAGGAGGATCTGCTTGAGCCCAAGGAGTCAAGACCAGAGTGGACAACATAACAAGACCCCATCTCTACAAAAAATAGAAATATAAGGCTGGGTGTGGTGGCTCATGCCTGTAATCTCAGCACTTTGGGAGATCAAGGTGGGCGGATCACCTGAGGTGAGGAGTTGGAGATCAGCCTGGCTAACATGGTGAAACTCCGTTTCTACTAAAAATATAAAAAATTAGTCGGGGGTGGGCGGGGTGACTCATGCCTGTAATCTCAGCACTTTGGGAGGCCAGGGCAGGTGGATCACAAGGTCAGGAGTTCAAGACCAGCCTGACAAAGATTGTGAAACCCCATCTCTACTAAAAATACAAAAATTAGCTGGGCGCAGTGGCAGGCGCCTGTAATCCCAGCTACTCAGGAGGCTGAGGCAAGAGAATCGCAATCGCTTGAACCCAGGTGGCAGAGTTGCAGTGAGCCAAGATCAAGCCACTGCACTCCATCCTAGGCAACAGAGTGAGACTCCATCTCAAAAAAAAAAAAAAATTAGCCAGGAGTGACAGCACGCACCTGTAATTCCAGCTACTCAGGAGGCTGAGGCAAGAGAATCCCTTGAACCTGGCAAATGAGCCTGTGGTAAATGAGCCAGGGCAGTCAAGTCTGCAGTGAGCCAAGATTTCCCCACTCTGGGTGGCAGAGCAGAAAGACCACGTCTTCAAAAAAAACCTTGGAGGGGCCAGGCGCGGTGGCTCACACCTGTAATCCCAGCACTTTGGGAGGCCGAGGTGGGTGGATCACGAGGTCAAGAGATCGAGACCATCCTGGTCAACATGGTGAAACCCCGTCTCTACTAAAAATACAAAAAATTAGCTGGGCACAGTGGCGCATGCCTGTAATCCAAGCTACTCGGGAGGCAGAGGCAGGACAATTGCCTGAACCCAGGAGGTGGAGGTTGCGGTGAGCGGAGATCACGCCATTGCACTCCAGCCTGGGTAACAAGAGCAAAACTCCATCTCAAAAAAAAAAAAAAACCTTGGAGGACCCATGTTTATTTTCCCCATTTGTAATAGAATCCCTCTGTGGAGTTAGTGTTAGTATCCAGATGCCTGCATTCATCCTCCCTGATCCAAGGGATCAGGACATTGCATTCCTGGTACTGCCTTCTTGGTACCTTTATCTCTGTGCTGATGTCTTCCTTGCAGAGCGCCAGTGGAACATGTGGATCCCAGGATTTGGCTCTGAAGAAATCCGACCCTACAAAAAAGCTTGCACCACGGAAGCTCACAAACAGGTGAGGAAATGATTCATTGAGCTACCTCTCAAAGCGAGTACACACAGCTACCTTCTAGGGAGTCTCACTTCCCGCACACGGCAAGCTTCGCTCTCTGGATCAAGAGTCAGAGAGGGCAAGAGGCAGCAGCGATCTCCAGGAGATCAATAAGATACTGACTTGGTGCTGTGCTATTCCCACATGCAGTCTGTTTTTACTTTTAACTCTGAGGAATATCACTTAAAGCTGTTAATTCTGGGTTCTTCTAATATGGATGGAGCTCACCCCACCATGCCTCCTTAATGAAATCTTTATTCTTGCTGATCACAACACCATATATGGCCCTATGAAAAGAGGAGAGGTTAAAGAAACCAGAAATGTGCTGTACTTGTGCTGAGAGGTAGTATCCAGGCTGCTATGCCAGACATTCTGGCCTGTCTCCCGGTTTTTCTTTGTTTTGGTACCTAGGAGTCAGTGTGAGAATACCACTTCTGTTGTGGACCAAGTCATCCCCATCTTCAGTCAGTCTAACAGTGTTGGCCTCCCTCTGACAAGACTGTTATCCTTATCCTTTCTGTCTTAATTTAAGTGGCTACTCTGATTTGAAACATGAGCTTTTTCCAAGCTTGGCAGGCACAACTGGGTAGTCCTGGTTGAGTGCCTCTGCTTTGCCATAGCCTTGTATCTCTGAAGTAGGTGTTTATAGAGCTCACAGAGCAAGTCCTTCAAGGAAGCCACCAGTTACCTGAATGGAAGGATTGCACTGTTCAGAAGAGAATCCCTCCAAACAATGGACTGCCACTTTGGCTCTGCTCCCAAATTAACCATTTTTCAGCCCTATTTATTTAGTCAACAAATACTATAATATTGATAATTTGGTCAAAAAGAATGAGCAAAGCAAGTTATTAGTTTGGCCTGTGACTGGTATAATAGTAAAAGAATTCAGGAGCAAGGTGGCTCAAGCCTGTAATCCCAGCACTTCGGGAGGCCGAGGCAGGTGGATCACGAGGTTAAGAGATCGAGACCATCCTGGTCAACATGGTGAAACCCCGTCTCTACTAAAAAAGTACAAAAAATTAGCTGGGCATGGTGGCGCATGCCTGTAATCCCAGCTACTCAGGAGGCTGAGGCAGGAGAATTGCCTGAACCCAGGAGGCGGAGGTTGCGGTGAGCAGAGATCACACCATTGCACTCCAGCCTGGGTAACAAGAGCAAAACTCCATCTCAAAAAAAATAATAATAATAATTCAGATCATGAAACCTGTGATCTCAGTGTTTCCATGATGGGTTGTGGTAGAAGTTGTTAGTCTTCAGTTTCCCTTCATTGCAGGTCACAAGGTGCGAAATGTCAGTTCCCTTTGAAATTGAGGCCCTTTCCTTATTTGTGTCCATCACCAGAGAAAAGCTTGGTGTTGGGGGACCCCAGAAAACACATGCTTGGCCAGGCATTGTGGCTCATGCCTGTAATCCTAGTGCTTTGGGGAGGCTGAGGCAAGAGAATCGCTTGAACTCGGGAGGCAGAGGTTTCAGTGAGCTGAGATCATGCCACTGCATTCCAGCCTGGACAACAGAACGAGATACCATCTTTAAAAAAAAAAGGAAAGAAAACAAATGCTTTGTCAGCTCATCCTCTAAGTCCCCAAAACTCAAGAGCTGTCACTTTCTTCTGCTCTTAACTTTTTTGCCATCCTGCTAGCCTAGAGCAGTTCGGTGGATGAAATGGGTCCACTAGCCCATCTAAACATTTCTTGGAGCCTTGCAGACCGCTCTCCAGTTAGAAGGAATCTACTGAGATGCCTTGCGACTGCAGGTCTTTGAGGGCTGTAGCCTACAGTGTAGACCATGAGGCCTGCTAGCCACATAGAATGTTCCCGGAAAGCTCCTGACTCCAGCTGCTGCTGTATAACCGCTTATTTCTCTCTCCTTTCAGAGAATGGCATTAATCCGGAAAACAACCAAGAAATAACACGTGGAAAGGTCAGGGAATGGACAACAATGTATTTGGAGATACTTGAGCTGAGAACTCAGCCATCTCATCCATGGATTTTTTTTTTTAATGCTTTACAGAGAAGCATATATTTTTATTAACAGTGCAGCAATATCTATAATGACTGAGAGGATCTGCCAAAAGAATAAAGCCTCCTACCCCAACTTCTGGTCCCTTTTCCCTGCCATCTCAAAGAGGAGCAGTGTATCTTCCAGAGAAGATTTTATTTGTGTTTTATTATATAAGTGACTGAATATGGGACAAAGCATTATGGTCTTTTTGGGTAAGACAGTATTAGCAGGATTTGTAAAGGGTTTTGTTTCCTTCTCCTTTCCCCTTTTCCCTGTACTTTGTAATGTCAGTGTTTATATGAATATGACTTTCATTTGCTTTTCCAGAATAAAGAAGTTATTAATCAAAAGACAGGGTACCTTTGAAATCCCAGAAGTAAGGACAAGCAAGTCTGGATTGTAGCTCTCTACTCAGCAGGTGGCAGCACCATTATTCCTTTCTGCGTTTCAGAAAAACTCGGGGATTTTCCATTATTTTACTCCAAGGGAGGCTATAACATCAGTAGGAGTTTGAGCCCAGCTTCTCTGTCATAAGAATTGAATATGGCGGCCTTCTCTTATGGCCCTGAACTGAAGAGACATCCTTATTTTGGCAGTGTTATGTGCCTAAAACCCCTTTTTGACCTTCTGTAACCTGGAGAAAGCTGTGTTTATCCCTGGCCCTGGGAAAGGATGGGATTAGGCCTGTCCTCTGAATAGTCCTGGCTGTGCAGGTTCCCATCTCTTCTTAGTTGCTGATATCTTTGATCCTGGTGTTTTCACCATTGTGCAGAGGAAACCAGGCCCCTTCTAGACCTCAGGGTCATGTCCTTCAGTGGCACCTAGCATTGTCCTGTCCTGGGCCTAGCATGGCCCTGGTGGATTGTGAGAGTTATGTGGGCTCTAGGGAGCATGGCTATCCTACTCAAGGGTCACTAGCACAGGCACAGCCACCTTGATCTGCTTTGGTCCTCTGAGTCCTGAAGCTTGGTCCAGGATGGGACCCTGCTTTTCTTTTCTTTTTTCTTTCTTTTTTTTTTTTTTTTGGCCCACTTGCATCTGTCTTGATCGAGTTATAGGGACCCTGCTTTTCAAAACTCCCTCCCACCCTGGGTTAGATCTCATGTCCCCCCCTTCACAGCCTCACAGATATACTGAGTGAGCACCTCAAAGGCTGTGCTAATGTTACCATTGCTCTTGGCTAAAGTTTCACTGCCCCAAGGAGGCAGCCAGTTTCTTTCCCTGTGGTGTTACCCAGTGCTCAGCCACCAGGTCACTCTTGTGGCCAACCATCAGGATGAGGGTGTTGAAGGGTTTCACTTTCTCCAGAACCTCCTGATGCCAGTGGTGACACTCATAAAGGATGTTCTGTCAGTGACATCAAACAGCAAGGGGCCTCCAGCTGGGTTTCAGTAGTAGGAATAGATCACTGACCTTGGCAGCCAAGGAATTTAGAATCAGTTTTGAGATCTCCACTAAGAACAGAAGGGAACTCAGGAATCGGGAAGTTCAATGGAAAGAGCTGGGGTAGAATCAAAAGACCCCAGTTCTTGATTTACCGTGCAACAAGTAAGTGGTGTCATCTGTCTCAGTCTTGGCCTGTCTGCATATTACGGGGCTTGTTTGAGCTTGTTCATTTATTCAACAAGTATTTTTAAGCCCCTGCCTGTGCTAAGCAAAGGAATACAATGATGAATAAAAACAGACCCAGGCGGCCAGGTGCAGTGGCTCAAGCCTGTAATCTCAGCAGTTTCGGAGGCCGAGGCAGGTGGGTTACTTGAAGTCAGGAGTTCCACTCCAGCCTGACCAACATGGCAAGACCCTGTCTCTGCTAAAAATACAAAAAATTAGCCAGGCAGCTGAGGCAGGATAATTGCTTGAACCTGGGAGGTGGAGGTTATAGTGAGCTGAGATTGCGCTACTGCACACCAACCTAGGTGACAGAGCCAGACTTAGTCTCAAAAAAAAAAAAAAGACCCAGGGGACCATCCTGTTATGTTATTAGATAAATGTAATAACACATTTATCCAATAAATGTGTTCACAGGGCTGGGGAGGGGTATGGTCAGCACAGGGACAAGGACTTCAAAGGAGAGGTTCACAGGGCTGAGGAGGGGTATGGTCAGCTAGGGAGAAATTTTGTTTGAGCTGAGATGTGAGGGATCCAGGTGAAGGGGATGAGGATCTCTTTCAAGGAGAGAAATTTGCCTGGTGTACAATCCTTGAGTTACTGGATTGAGGTAAGCTGGGCCAGGCCATGCAGTACATTGCAGATCCCAGCAAAGAGTGGCCTGTCAAAAAGTAACAGGAGCTACTTGATTTAGGATTTCAAGTAAAAGCGTAGTGTGTGCAAAGGCCCAGAGGTCTAATGAAGTGAGTGTGCCAGTGAGACCAAAGCATAAGATACAAAATTAGGGGAGAGTGGCTAGAGCTGAGTGGAAAGTGAGCATGGAGTGTGGACAGCTCTCAGGCTTAGTGGTGTGCACCTCATCTGGGCTTCTTTTGTTGTTGTTGTTGTTGTTGTTTTGAGACGGAGTTTTGTTCTTGTTGCCCATACTGGAATGCAATGGTGTAATCTCGGCTCCTGGCAACCTCTGCCTCCTAGATTCAAGCGATTCTCCTGCCTCAGCCTCCCAAGTAGCTGGGATTACAGGCATGTGACACCAAGCCCAGCTAATTTTATATTTTTAGTAGAGACGGTTTCTCCATGTTGGTCAGGCTGGTCTTGAACTCCCGGCCTCAGGTGATCTGCCTGCCTCGGCCTCCCAGAGTGCTGGGATCACAGGCTTGAGCCATTGCGCCTGGCCTGTTGTTTTTTGAGACAGAGTCTCACTCTCTTGCCAGGCTGGAGTGCAGTGGCACAATCTTAGCTCACTGCAACCTCCTCCTCCTGAGTTCAAGCAATTCCCCTGCCTCAACCTCCCGAGTAGCTGGGACTACAGGCGCACACTACCATGCCCTGCTAGTTTTTTTGCATTTTAGTAGAGACGGGGTTTCACCATGTTGGCTAGGCTGATCTCAATCTCCTGACCTCGTGATCTACCCACCTTGGCCTCCCAAAGTGCTGGAATTAGAGGCATGAACCACCATGCCCAGCCCCCCCGCTTTTTTTTAAAGACAGGGTTTCACCATGTTGGTCAGGCTGGTCTCAAACTCCCGACCTCAGGTGATCTGCCTGCCTTGACCTCCAAAGTGCTTGGATTACAGGCGTGAGCCACCATGCCCGGCCCCCCTTTTTTTTTTAAAACAAAAGTCTTGGCCAGGCCTGGTGACTCACACCTGTAATCCCAGCATTTTGGGATGCTGAGGCAGGTGGATTACCTTTCCTCTTTCTCTCTCAAAGGGTTTGGAGATTTGTCTTGAGCACCTGACAGCCTCCTCTCGACAAGCTTATCTCCCAACTGATCATCAATTTAGACCCGGGCTCCTGAACAGGAAAACCAGAAACCATAGACCAGGTCTGGCACAGTAGCTCACAACTAATCCCAGCACTTTGGGAGGCCAAGGCAGGAGGATTGCTTGAGCCCAGGAGTTTTAGACTGGCTTGAACAATATAGCAAGACCTTGCCTCTATTAAAAAAGAAAGGCCGGGCGCGATGGCTCACGCCTATAATCCCAGCACTTTGGGAGGCCTAGGTGGGTGGATCACAAGGTCAAGAGATCGAGACCATCCTGGTCAACAAGGTGAAACCCTGTCTCTACTAAAAATACAAAAATTAGCTGGGCATGGTGGTGCACGCCTGTAGTCCCAGCTACTCGGGAGGCTGAAGCAGGAGAATCGCTAGAATCCAGAAGGCGGAGGTTGCGGTGAGCCAAGATCGTGCCATTGCACTCCAGTCTGGGTAACAAGAGCGAAACTCCATCTCAAAAAAAAAAAGAGAAAGAAAGAAACCATCTTCCCTACCCATGGACTCCACACTCAGATCTGTAAATTCCTGGAAAGAGCCCAGGCCACAGTGGCCTCCATTCTGTTGCTGTTGCTATCCTACCCCTCTACTTACCAGCTGTGAGACTTTAGGCAAGCCGCTTAACCTCTCTGGGCCTGTCTCTTCATGGGTAAAAAGGAATGACTGACTTACACAGGTATTGTGAAGGTTGAATTAATATATATCAAGCCCCTAGTGTGTTAGGGGCTCTTCACTTGGCTCCTCCTCCTTCAGGTCTCAGCTCAAGGCTGTCTCATCAGAGACACCCTCCCTGACCACCTGCTCTAAAGGACCCCTCATCACTCCCAGTTCCCTCTCCCTGATCTATGGTCTTCAACAGCACTTACTGCAACTGGAAATCATTCAGTTCATTTATTTACTTTTTTTTCCTCTCTCTTCCACTAGAATGTCAGACCAGGGGTTTTCTGTCATGTTCACTGCTGTATCCCCAGATACAGATTAGAACAAACTAGATGCTCACTTAAGAAAATTTATGAAGCAGCTGGCACAGTGGCTCACGCCTGCAATGCCAGCATTTTGGGAGGCCAAGGCAGCCAGATCACTTGAGGTCAGAAGTTCAAGACCAGCCTAACCAACATGGTGAAACCCCAACTCTACTAAAAATACAAAAATTAGCTGGGCATGGTGGTGCGCGCCTGTAGTCCCAGGTACTTGGGAGACTGAGGCAGGAGAATTGCTTGAAACCGAGAGGCAGAGTTTGCAGTGAGCCAAGATTGCACCACTATACTCCAGCCTAAGCAACAGAGTGAGACTCTGTCTCAAAAAAAAAACTGATTAAGGAGACCAGGTGTCGTGGCTCACACCTGTAATCCCGGCACTTTGGGATGCTGAGGAAGGAGAATTGCTTGAGGCCAGGAGTTTGAGACCAGCCTTGGCAATATAGAAAGACCCTGTCTGTACAAATAATTTAAAAAGTTGACGGGATACGGTGGCTTATGCCTGTAATCCCAGCACTTTAGGAGGCTGAGCTGGGCGGATCATGAGGTCAGGAGATTGAGACCATCTTGGCCAACATGGTGAAACTTGCCGCTACTAAAATACAAAAAAAATACCTGAGTGTGGTGGCACATGCCTGTAATCCCAGCTACTCAGGAGACTGAGGCAGGAGAATTGCTTGTACCCAGGAGGTGGAGTTTGCAGTGAGCCGAGATCGTGCCATTGCACTCCATACTGGTGACAGAGCAAGACTCCGTCTCAAATAAATAAATAAGAATTTAAAAGTTAGCTTAGCATGGTGAAGCACATCTGCAGTCCCAGCTACTTGGGAAGCTGAGGTGAGAGGATCACTTGAGTCCAGGAGGTCAACATTATAGTGAGCTATGATTGCCCCACTGCACTCGAGCCTGGGCAGCAGTGAGACCGTCTCTAAAAAAAAAAAAAAAAATTTGATGAAGGAATGAAAAGACACCCTACAGAAGTGATTTCCCTCTCCTAGCCCCAGCTTTCTTATCTGTGAAATGGGGATGATTTTGCCAGCCTCACCATGTTGTCACAAGGGCAAAAAATGATTTTTTTTTGGGGGACGGAGTTTAGCTCTTGTTGCCCAGGCTGGAGTGCAATGGCTCGATCTCAGCTCACCGCAACCTCCTCCCTCTCCCAGGTTCAAGTTACTCTGCCTCAGCCTCCAGAGTAGCTGGGATTACAGGCATGTGCCACCACGTCCGGCTGATTTTTTTATTTTTTATTTTTAGTAGAGACAGGATTTCTCCATGTTGGTCAGGCTGATCTTGAACTCCCAACCTCAAGTGATCAGCCTGCCTCGGCCTCCCAAAGTGCTGGGATTACAGGCATGAGCCATCTTGCCCGGCCAATAAGGATGTTTTAAAAAGGAGGCAGGTCATTTGCAACAACGTGGATGGAACTGGAGGAAACTATAAGTGAGAAAAGCCAGGCACAGAAAGACAAACTTCTCACATTCTCACTTATTTGTGGGAGCTAAAAATTAAAACAATTGAACTCATAGAGACAGAGTAGAATGATGGTGACCAGAGGCTGGGAGGGGTAGTGGAGGGGCAGAGTGGGTATGGTTAATGGGTACAAAAATATAGCTTTTATTTATTTATTTATTTTTGAAATGGAGTCTCTATTGCCCAGGCTGGAGTGCAGTGGCGTGGTTTCAGCTCACTGTAGCTTCCGCCTCCCGGGTTCCAACAATTCTGCCTCAGCCTCTAGGGTAGCTGGGATTACAGGCACCTGCCACCACATCTGGCTAATTTTTGTGGTTTTAGTAGAGACAGGGTTTCACCATGTTGGCCAGGCTGGTCTCAAACTCCTGACCTCAGGTGATTCACCCTCTTCTGCCTCCCAAAGTGCTGGATTACAGTTGTGAAACATCGTGTTCAGCCAAAAATATAGTTACATAGAATGAATAAGATCTAGCATTTGATAGCACCACAGGGTTACTACAGTCAGCGATAATGTAAAAGAGCATAAACTGGATTGTTTGTAATGCAAAGAAAATATAAACCTTTGAGGCCATGGATACTCCCCACCCCCCACAAAATAGAACAGGTGCATTTTTATGGGTTTTAAAAAAAAAAGAGGCAGGACCAAGTGCACAGAAAGACCTCCTCAGCCCCGTCTCCATGGGGAGAAAGCTAAGAAACTCACTCTGATTGAAAACCTAAGAACCCTAGGAAGGAGGGATTATCAGTCTCGTGTTACTGACTGAGGAGGAAACTGAGGCTCAAGGAGACCGAGTAACTAGCCCAAGGTCACAAAGTGAGTTAAGTAACTATGCTTTTATTTATTTATTTTTGAGATGCGGTATTGTTCTGTCGCCCATGTTGGAGGGTTGGAATGCATGGCTCGCTGCAACCTCTGCCTTCTGGGTTCAAGTGATTCTCATCCCTCAGCCTCCTGAGTAGCTGAGATTACAGGTGTGAGCCACCATGCCTGGCTTATTTTTGTATTTTTAGTGTAGACAGGGTTTAGTTATGTTGGCCGTGCCATGACTAGGTCTCGAACTCTTGACCTCAAGTGAACTGCCCGCCGGCTTCCCAAAGTGCTGGTATTACAGGCGTGAGCCACTGCACCTGACCAAGTGGCTGTGCTTTCTGCTACAGCACAATGCTACCCACTAAGCCCTACACCTGCTGAGATTCTGCCTAACATAAACAGCATCTCTTCCACCCTAATTTTGCCCAGGACATTCCCTGCCTAGCAGTCCCCCATTGTAGGCTAGGTTGCCAGGAGACAGATTTCGAGATGGAGACAAGTGTGCAGATGTTTATTAGGGGATATTCTTGAGAATACCTGTTTTGGGGAAGAAGAAAAGGAAGCCGGATTGGGCATCGGGATAACTTGGCTGTGATGTTGTCACAACAGTGTCCTCAATGAAGCCCATAGAGACTGATAAAGTTGGGTTTGACTTTCAGAGTCGTCCACAGCTCGGTCAAGAGGGCAAGGCCTTGAAGGCCCCCCAGTGTAGATGGATGTTGGATATGGCTGCCCTGAGGGGTTGGCCTTTCCCAGAAAGTGCTGCAAGCTGAAATCATCCAGTGGTACTCCAGCAGCTGGGGAGAGGGTTGATGGGTTCCCCAGCCAGGAAGGGGGATCTTGGTGGCTCATAATAGTGGCCACTCTGTGCCCAACATAATTGCTGCACATTCATGTTCATCCCAGCCTCCAACATCCATTTTCATTCAGCCCCTGGGCCCGGGGTGGGGGCATTGGCCAGCAACCCTGGGTTTGACATCACATATTAATCCCATGCCCAGAATCATTTTAGCCTGAGGACCTAAGGAGGCTCCAAGCCAAGCTCCCCTTGGAATTTCCCACACCTGCCTTTGCCCGTGCAGCAGCTTCCTGATGCTGGCTTCTGTGTCTAAGCTCAGGAATGCTGCCAAAGTAGCCACATTGCAGCCAAGAAAGAGAGTGGGAATGAGAGCTTTTGTCATGCAATTCATAGCATGGCAGGCTCTGGGTGAGCACACCCTGGACACTATCTCATTCATGGCCACTACCTCCCTGCAAGGCGAGATCTTTTACAAGCCCCATTGACAGTTAAGGACATTAAGGCTCAAGGACTTGCACATCTGGTCTCTCAGACCTTTCTTTCTTCTTTTCTTTCTTTCTGTTTGTTATTTTCTTTTTTTTTTCTGTGTTTTTTTTCTTTCTTTCTTTCTTTCTCTTTCTTTCTTTCTTTTTTCTTTTTTTTTTTTTAGACAGAGGCTCACTGTCACCCAGGCTGGAGTGCAGTGGTGCAATCTCAGCTCACTGCAATCTCTACCTTTTGGGTTCAAGCGATTCTCTGCTGGAGACCCCAAGAATGTGGGGCGTGACCAACTCAATATACCTCTGGAGGCTATAGGAGTAAACAGCAAACTCCTCATGAAAGCAGGATGTCAAACTGACAAACTGCGTGTGGCTAGAAGGAATGTTGAGGGCAGTCACACGCCAGGTCCCGTGCTCCTTGAGTCTATCTACCTGAACATCTGGAACCTGCTGAACCTATGATAAATCAAGTAGCTGACCACGAAGGGCTGTAAAACCTCAGGGCCTTCGTTCACTAGAAGCAGAGTCCCCTGACCCCTTCTTTCAAACAGAACCTTTTGTCTTTGTCTTAGTCCTCTTTGGTTCATGAGATAACTAAGGCAATTCTGCCTCAGCCTCCCAAGTAGTTGTGATTACTGGCATGCACCACCATGCCTGGCTAATTTTTGTATTTTTAGGAGAGACAGGGTTTCACCATGTTGGCTAGGCTGGTCTCAAACTCCTGACCTCAAGTGATCCGCCCAAGAAGAGTGACCCACCCCACCCAGCCATCAGACCTTTCTTTTCTGTAGAAAGCTTTGACTCCAAAATCCAGGAAGCATGACTGTGTCCAGATACTGTTTATATGAGCCCTTCTGGAATTTGTCCTCCAGAGAGATACTAACATTCCCATGCCACCATGTGGGCTGAGGCTGGGACTGCTTTAACCCTTTCTCTCCTAGAGTCAACACTGGCATGGGCCTGGGTGCTGCTTCCTGCTGGCGGACCTGGGGATTTGGGTCTTGTGGATGAGCCGGACACCCCCCCAGCCTTCTTCTAGCTTGATGTCCCCCTGCTGCAGGGCCTGCTGGATAGCATCAGCGAGGGTGTCAAAGGCCAGGTCCACGTTGCAGTTGTTTTTAGCTGAGGTCTCCACGAAGGCCATGCCCAGGGAGGCAGCCAGCTCCTTGGCCTCCTGGGCTGAGACACAACGGGTGCTCTGCAGGTCACTCTTGTGGCCAACCAACAGAAAGATCACCTTGTCCAGGCCCTGAGTGGCCATGACCTCCTCGTGCCAGTCATGGATGTGTTCAAAGGACTTCCTGTTTGTGACATCAAAGACCAGCAGGACACCCACCACGTTCCGGTAAAAGGACCTGGTGAGGCACCTGGGGAGGCAGGGAGGCAGGAGGTAAGCTGGGAAGTGCCTTCAAGACACCCCTAAAGGCAGGACCTCCTCCCCCTGGGAAACACAGAATGCCTCACACCCCATCAGGGCCCACTTCACCCGGCCCTGTGCTCCTCTGCCTTGGTGTCTGTCTCTCCTAAAAGTCTGGGTGCTCCCCAGCTAGAGGGCAAGCGTGACCCGAGTCCCTCATGCCTGGTGGAGGGACCAGGCATTCATTTCTCTTCCTGGCAAACTCCTGCTGACCCTTCAGGGTCAACACAAACCTCTCTCCCTTCAACATCCCGCCGGCACTTCTCGCCCTGTGCCCTTGAGCTCTCAGCACCCGGGGCCAGTATCACTCAGCATCTCTTCAGAGTCCAGAGCTCAATTCAACGCCGGGATGTTCCAGGGCTCTGGGCCTCGGCTCACCCCAAAGTGTTCGTGGGAAGAATGACTCTGAGCAGGGGAAGGTCTGGCATCAGCGGACCAGGCTGGACCCAGGGCAGGGACCCCGCCCTCCGCTTGACCACTGAGTTGGCCTCTCCTGGGGGTGCCACGGCCCAGCGCACCGGCACCGAGTCCCCCACCAGGAGTCCCTCCCGCGCCCCTGCCGCCCGCACCTGAAGCGCTCCTGGCCTGCGGTGTCCCAGAGCTGCAGCTTGACCCGCGGCCCGGCCCGCAGCTGCAGCGCGCGGCGGTAGCACTCGGCGCCCACCGTGGGCTCGGGCTCGGGTTCGGGCTCCGGGGCGCCAGGCGCGCCCGCCACGTAGCTCCGCAGCAGCGACGTCTTGCCCACCGCCGCGTCCCCCAGCAGCACGACCCGAAACTGGTAGCGGCAGCCCTCGGCCTCCATGGCCGCGTCCCCCGCCCCGCCGCCCCACGGCCGTTTTGTCCGCGTCCTGCCCCGCCTCTGCCCGGGGCCCCGCCGGCGCCGCCCCCCTCTCCCCGCGCCCTGCCACCCTCCCTGGCGGGGCACCTGGGAACCCGGACGTCTGCAGCACAAGTGGAGAAGTGCCATTTCCACTCGGTCCGAGGGCGTCGGACCGAGTGGAAACACTTGGCCAAGTTTCTCTCTGAGTCTCAATTGTCTCCTCAGCAAAAGGAGGCTAATGATGACCCTCTACACTTCCCTGAACTATACTAGATGAAGGTAGGGGGGCAGAGGGAGGAGGCTAACAGCGCTAAAGCATCTGCCTCACTCATTCCTTCACTCTCCAGCTCCACCCCGTTACCCGCTCCACCCCGCCCGCTGTGGATTCCCTAGTTGGCCCCCACCCCTCTGCTGGACCCAGGAAGGCCACTGTGGAAGTGGGTGGTTTGTAGATGCTCCCTCTCCACCCAGAAGCCCTTTCCTGGAGCCCTCATTGGCCCTGGCCTGGGATCTCTAGTTCCAAGTGCAGGTTCAATGTTCAACAGCCCCCTCGGCTTCCTCGATGGCTGAGTTGGACACCAGGGCCCCAGAATGAACTTGGGCAGAGTCTGGTTGAGAAGGCAGGACAGACACACACAACTGCAATTCTAAAAGGAGTGAAGTTGGCCTGTGGATTTGACAACTAACATATATAAGGCCAAAGGTCAGTTCATGTTTTGTGGGCCGCAACCCTTTGACAGAGCCATGGAGTGCCCCTTTTAAGAGCTGAGAAGACAGGTTCAGAGTCATGGCTTGTCCGAGGTCACACAGCAGAGCTGGGGCTCACATTCAGGTTTGTCTCATCCTTCATCACACCCTTGAAGCCACAAAAGGGGACAAGGCAGGTCCCATGAGAACTAGGACACTGGTTGAGTCTTGCTTGGGTAAGGGGCTAGGATGAGGCAGCACATGAGCCACCAAGGTTTACTCCACGCTTTCCAGGCCCGCCTTCTGGAAACCCAGACAATGAGGCTGGAGTTCCAGCCAGCCCCAGACAGCTCTAGTCTCTCTCGTCTTTTTTTGTTTGTTTGTTCGTTTGTTTGTCTCACTCTGTTGCCAGGCTAGAGTGCAGTGGCACAATCTCGGCTCACTGCAACCTCCACCTCTTGGGTCCAAGCCATCCGCCTACCTTGGCCTCCCAAGTAGCTGGGATTACAGGCCCCCACCACCACACCCAGCTAATTTTTGTACTTTTAGTAGAGACTGGGTTTTACCATGTTGCCAGGCTGGTCTCAAACTCCTGACCTCAAGTGATCTGCCTGCCTCGGCCTCCCAACATGCAGGGATTACAGGTGTGAGCCACTACGCCTGGCCCACATGCACTTCTGACCACCTGTGATGTCAGTCTCTCTCCTACCCTGCAGGCTTCTTGAGGACAGGGACTATGATTGTATCCTCAGGGCCTAACTCAGTGCCTGGCATAAAGTAGAAACTCAAGATGGCACATGGCTCACACCTGTAATCCCAGCACTTCTGGAGGCTAAGGTGAGCAGATCACTTGAGTTCAGGAGTTTGAGACCAGCCTGGCCAACATGGTGAATAAAACCCCGTATCTACTAAAAATACAAAATTAGTCAGGCATGGTGGTGGCCACCTGTAATCCCAGCTACTTGGGAGGCTAAGGTAGGAGAATCACTTGAACCTGGGAGGTGGAGGTTGTAGTGAGCTGAGATCGCACCACTGCACTACAGCCTGGGTGATAAAGCAGGACTCCATCTCAAAACTAAATAAATAAATAAAGTAACTCAGTAAAAATTTGTAGCTAAATGAATTAAAGAAATTGGCTAAGTGCTGTTCATTCATCCAACCATTCATTCAAACACCATAATAGAGCTGGAATTAGGAAGCCAAAGGGTCAGAGAAGCCCATCCCAGCTGATGTTGAAGCTGGGTCTCCGAGGATACGTGGGATCTGGGAAGGTCAAGCAAAAAGGAGACTCCAGAGAGACACGAAGCGGCTGGAAATGCAGTCTGACCCTAGCCCTCCCTGAAGCCTTTCCGGTCAGCCCACGTGGGCAGTGCACTGTCAGCATCTGGCTTCTTGAACTTCCTCCCTCTTCCAGATGCTCCTACTGTGGGCTGGGATCATGTGTCTGCCTCTGACTGCAGTTAAATCCAGATGTCAGCTGACCTCTGCCACAGATTCACTGTGTAACCTCGGGTAAGGTATTTCCCTTCCCTGATCCCTGCTTCCTCTTCATCTAAGTGAGGCAAATCACGGTACCCACCACACAGGGTAAGTTCTGGAGGAGCCTCGAGACACAGCAGTTAAGTTTATCTGCATTTGCATTAGAACAGATCTGAGTTGGGCCCAGGGCGGTGACTCATGTCTGTAATTCCAGCACTTTGGGAGGCTGAGGCAGGTAGATCACGAGGTCAAGAGATTGAGACCATCCTGGCCAACATGATGAAACCCCATCTCTATTAAAAATAACAAAAATTGGCTGGTTGCGGTGGCTCACGCCTGTAATCCCAACACTTTGGGAGGCTGAGGCGGGTGGATCACGAGGTCAAGAGATCGAGACCATCCTGGTCAACATGGTGAAACCCCGTCTCTACTAAAAATGCAAAAACTTAGCTGGGCATGGTGGTGTGCGCCTGTAATCTCAGCTACTCAGGAGGCTGAGGCAGGAGAATTGCCTGAACCCAGGAGGCGGAGGTTGCGGTGAGCCGAGATCGCACCATTGCACTCCAGCCTGGGTAACAAGAGCGAAACTCCGTCTCAAAAAAAAAATTATTTGGGCTTGGTGGCACAAGCCTGTAATCCCAGCTACTCGGGAGGCTGCGGCAGGAGAATTGCTTGAACCTGGGAGGCAGAGGTTGCTGTGAGCTGAGATCGTGCCTCTGCACTCCAGCCTGGCATTCCATCTCAAAAAAAAAAAAAGAAGAAGAAAAGAAAGAAGAAAAAGAAAAGAACAGATTTGGATTGTCGTTCCAATGGCCACTTGCTGGTTATGTGAACCTGGGCCAAGTTTTATTCATTCATTCATTCATTCATTCATTCACTTGGTGATTATTTCAAGAATGCTGGCCATCTTTTATGTACCAGGCATTAATACAGCAGTAGAGGGGAAAAAAGACAAAATCCCAGCTCTCTTGGGATGCTGACATTCTAATAGAGAAAACAAAATACATACAAAATACCATGTCAGGAAGCACTAAGTGCTATAAATAACAATTATGCAGGCAGTGACTTGAAGGGTGGAGGATGATGGGGTACTGTATCAAAATAGGATGGCCTGAGGAGGTGGCATGTGGACAGAAACCCAGGGGAAGTGAGGCAGTAAGAAGTGTGGTTGTCTGTGATGATATTCAGGTGGGGCGAGTTCCAGGCAAGAGGAGCAGCAAGAGCAAAGGCTCTGGGCTGCTCAGAGAAGAGCAAAGAGTCCAGGGAGATGAAAGACTGAGAGAGCAAGTGGTGGGTGATGAGGGCAGTGAGGAGGAGGAGCCTGATTATCTGTGGCCTTGGAGACCATTATGGGGATTTCCGTTTTTATTCTATGTTGGGAAGTCATGGGAGAGTTCTGAGCAGGCAAATAACATGATGTAAGTGTTTTTTAGGCTGGGCATGGTGGCTCAGGCCTGTAAGCCCAGCACTTTGGGAGGCCGAGGCAGGAGAATCACCTGAGGTTGGGAGTTCAAGATCAGCCTGACCAACATGGAGAAACCCCATCTCCACTAAAATACAAAAAATTAGCCGATCTCGGCTCTCAGTAACCTCTGCCTCCCAGGTTCAAGCGATTCTTGTGCTTCAGCCTCCTAAGTAGCTGGGACTATAGATGTATGCCACCATGCCCAGCTAATTTTTTTTTTTGTATTTTATTATTATTTTAATAATAGAGACAGGGTTTCACCATGCTGGTCAGGCTGGTCTCGAACTCCTGACCTCAGGTGATCCACCCGCCTTGGGCTCCCAAAGTGCTGGGATTACAGGCTTGAGCCACCGCGCCTGGCTTTTTTTTTTTTTTTTTTTTTTTTAATTTTTAAAATTTTTTTATTTTTAGTAGATACGGGCTTTCGCCATGGTGGCCAGGCTGGTCGCTAGTTCCTGACATAAGGTGATCCACCAGCCTTGACCTCCGAAATTGGTGGGATTACAGGCCTGAGCCACTGTGCCCCCCAGCGGATATAATTTTTTCTTATGGGTTTTTGTTTTTTGTTTTTTATGAGACCGAGTTTCACCCTTGTTACCCAGGCTGGAGTGCAATGGTGCAATCTCGGCTCACTGCAACGGTCACCTCCTGGATTCAAACGATTCTCCTGTCTCAGCATCCCGAGTAGCTGGGATTACAGGGGTGCGCCACCACGCCTGTTAATTTTGTATTTTTAGTAGAGACGGGGTTTCTCCACGTTGGTCAGGGTGGTCTCGAACTCCCGACCGCAGGTGATCCGCCTGCCTCGGCCTCCCAAAGCCACGGCAGGTCGGCTTCCTGCGTGGACCCGGCGCCTGGTACGTAACGGTGAAGGCGCTTCTTCCTGGAGGAAAGCCTCTGGCGGTTCGCGGTTCGCGGGCTCGGGCCGGACACGCGCGCGTAAGGCTGGGGAGGTGACGCGCGGACAACGCCAGGGTGAGCGAACTACGACTCCCAGCCAGCTGTGCGCCACGCGCGCGCCCGACCGTCAGGCGGGGCGCGAGGGGCGGCCTATATAAGCCCTTCCCCGCGAAAGCACCACCCTTTCTCTTTTCCGCAGCGCCTGTGTGCTGGTCTGTCAGCCTGTAGCCCCTGCCTACTGCCTTGCGCACCTTTCCTCGCTTAGTCATCGCGGCTACCGGCCCGCACTCGCCGGGGCTCTCTCCCAAGGCTGCGGGATGGTGGTGAACCTGGCACGGAGGAGCCGGGCCTTCCCACCCTGTGGGCTTGAGCCAGAAGGCTTCCTTGGCCGTGAGAGGGGCCTGGGGCCGCTCCCTTCTCTCGCCCCTTTCCCCAACGCTGCACTCTGGGCTGACAGGTGTGTTGCGGGCAGGAGGTCGGGTGCACCGAAGGGGTGGGGGTTTGGGAACCGGGCTCCTGGGGAATGCAGGGACGAAGCCCTGGGCCTTAATTTGCGGGAGGCCGCATGCTGGTGTCAGGATGGCCTCTAATGGAATCTGTGACAAGTTACCAGCTAGGTGACTTTGGGGCTGGTGACTACGCGCGAGGCCTCTGGAAGTCACCCTGGTGGACACGGTTTTCAGGGGCGGGTTTTAGGGATTCAGCGACCCTTGTTTGCATCCCAGCTTCTTGCTTTCAGCCTTGCTAAGCGACCTCCAGCAAGTAAGTTAATCGGTCTAAACCTCTTATCTGTAAAAGAGGGATAAAACGGTCCGGTTAAGATGAAATGAGTAAAAGCACACCAAAGATTGGGACAGCGTGGTTGGTGGGGCCTGCAGGATGACTGTTGACTTTTTTTACTACAGAGTGCCCGGCGTACTTCAGGTAGTAATGATGGACAGGTGAGGCCTTAATGTGGCTGCCCTGGGACCTGAATTGCCCCTTGGCCCTTATCGAAGCTGCAGCTGCTTCCACATAGCTGCTGTGGTCAAAAAGGAGCCCAGAGTGACAGTTTTCCTTGACGGTCGCCGTTCTGTTTGTTGTAACTGATCTGCAACATTTTGGGAAAAGACAGTTCCATTGTATCTGCCATCTTTCAGCTGTAGCCAGAGAGACCTTAATCAAAATGGGCATGTTTCCACAGACCAGCAGAAAAGTTGGGGGGTTGCATGTACAGTTAACCAGCATAACACTCATATTGGGAAAGCCCAGTTGGGATGTGACACAGCTTAACTGATAGCTTAAGGCATCAGTAATAGGAACCAAAGGCTGGTCAGACTTATGATTCTGAGGACCAAATGGTGGGAACAGTAAGATTGATCATGACAGTTGTTCTCCTTTTGCTGTTCCAGATGAAGAGTCTGAGATGACAGAAGTTTGATTTTTCTGGTGATCAAGGGCTCCCAGGGCCATTAGAGTGATGAAATGCAACTATTAAAGGACCTGGTAGGTTTCTTTTGGAGACTTACTTTGCAGGCTGCCTGGTGGGACAGAACAGCATGTTTCCAAGGGCTGTGGCTGGTTGTAGCCATGGGATCTCCAACTGCATGCAAGAGCAACCTGGAAAGACTTTGACAGCACAGGTCAGTAAATACCTGCGGCTGCCACTCGGCTTTCCTATAATGTTTCAGGACCAGGGCTGGAAGTCTTCCGCTGGTCAACTTCATGTAGACGGGTGTGTTGACTCAACTAATTGGTTTGGAGTATTGTTTTTTTTTTTTTCCAACCCAGAATACTGGGGGTTGGAGTTTGTTTTTTTTTTTTTTTGAGATGGAGTTTTGCTCTTGTTACCCTGGCTGGAGTGCAATGGTGCGATCTCGGCTCACCGCAACCTCAGCTTCCTGAGTAGCTGGGACTACAGGCGCACGCCACCATGCCCAGCTAAGTTTTGTATTTTTAGTAGAGATGGGGTTTCACCATGGTGACCAGGATGGTCTCGATCTCTTGACCTCGTGATCCACCTGCCTCGGCCTCCCAAAGTGCTGGGATTATAGGCGTGAGCCACTGCGCCCGGCCTGGATAAAGTTTTCTATAGCTATGGCATCCTTTCTCCAACCCTGGATGGAGTGTTTTTTTTGTGGTGCTGGTGTCATTGAGTCTCACCCAGGCTGGAGTGCAGTAGCGATCACTGCAACCTCCGCCTCCCAGGTTAAGTGATTCTCCTGCCTCAGCCTCCCTAGTAGCTGGGATTACAGGCACCGCCATCATGCTGGGCTGGTTTAGAGTTTTCACACTAAGCTTTTTGTTTTGCAGGTTGCCCCAGGTTTCCTGGCAGTGTGATACTGAGGAAATCAGCTTGTTTCTGGAGCTGTGCTTTAAGGTAAAGTTGATGTGGAACAACACAGCTTAGTCCTCCTGTACCCTTTCCCATCAGATCTGAACGTTGGTCTTGGTGGTCGTAAAAGGAGGAAAACTAATACTGAAGCTGGCCTCAATGTTGTAATCTGGTATATAGCATGTGGGCTAGTTTCAAACAGGTTCATAGATGGTTGGGTCTCTGAAATTGTAAAATGAAGTATAATCTTTGGCTAAGGGAAGGATGCGTGTGAAGCTCTGCAGGTTGGTATAGGAATTGCTGACCTATTACTGCATTTGGGAGGGATCTGTCATAGCTTTCTTGCCTCTTAAGGGTGTCCTTTTTTTCTTGTAGATGTTACACATAAAGCTGTCCTCATTTGTGACTGTGGACCCTTATGGAGTTGGGTAAGTTAGTGACAACCTGAAGCTTTCTCGCAACTTTGCTTGTAGCTTCAGGTAGTGCTCAACTATCAGGGATCCTGTCCTAAGTGCTCAAGCAAATAGAACCATAAGTTACTCAGTATGTCAGTGTTAAGGCCTTTTATTTTTTGAGACAAGATTTTCCTGTTTCTCAGGCTCGAGTGCAGTGGTGTGATCTTGGCTCACTGCACCCTTTGCCTCCCAGGTTCAAGTGTTTCTCCTGTCTCAGCCTGCCAAGTAGCTGTAACCATTAAGTATGTACTACCATGCCTGGCTAATTTTGTATTTTCAGTAGAGTTTTGCCATGTTGGTCAGGCTGGTCTTGAACTCCTGACCCCAAGTAATCTGCCCGCCTTGACCTCCCAAAGTGCTGGGATTATAGGTGTGAGCAACTGTGCCAGGCCAGAAAGTCTTAGCGTTTTAGTAACATTTACATTTGGCCTTCTTCGTGTACCCTGTTTGTTAGCTGTTCATTACCAGCAGGGCAAAGAAATGCTTACATTATGATTTGCCCACCCTAAAATGCATGACCACATGCTCAAAGTTGAAGGCAGCAGAGGGAACAGCTCTGCACTGCAGGCCACAGGGCCTGGTAGCAGCAAATGTGTTGTGGCTGGAGCTCACAATGCATTGTTTGGCAGGACTTCAAATTCTCTCAGCCTCAGGGAGAGTTGGGAAATGGACTGCAAGGTAGAAACAAGGGGTTCCATCTAGCACACACTGTATTTATTTAGAGTGACTGGTCTAGGATGAAACCTAATCTGAGTGGACGTCCATGGATGAGAAATGCGGATATGGGACTGAGACCAGCTCCTAGAAAAATGTCTCTGGGTGGGGGAAATCTGGGAATTACTAACACAATGGCTTACACTTCCTTTTCAGGAGAATATGAGAAGCAGAAGGCAAGACCCCAGTCATTTTAGGTGGGAACAGCGGCATGTTCTAGGTGGAGACTTCCGGTTTTTTTTAAATGCAAAAAATTATGCAGTGTGCTACTGATCAATAAAAGACTCGAGTATGTTTGTCATTCTTTGTATATTTTGTAGATACCTGGTCTCTCCCAAGCTTAACCAATCCATCGCCCAAATTGCTGGGTAACAGGCATGAGCCAGCATGCCTAGCTAGCCCTTAAGATCTTTTGAGGTTTTTTATGATCTAGGATCATGCTTTACCTCAAGCAGGTGCCAGCAAGTGTCTTGTGTATGGCACATGGAAAATGCAGTTTTCCCATTTACTTGGGAAACGCAGAAGGGAGCAGTATAAGGTTCACATGAAGGTCTGCTTTGGCTTTAAGCTGTCTTGGTCAACAATCCTTTCTGAGCTGCCTTCTCCTGTATCAAACTATTGATTCCTAAGGTGATCCAGGCCTTGTAGGTGGAGATGCTGCAACTCATGAAAATAGGCTAGACCCATTCTTGGAGCAAGTACCAATTTTTTTTTAAGACAGTCTTCATTCTGTCACCACATTGTGGAGTGCAGTCCTCACCTCCCAGCTTCAAGTCACCACACCCAGCCCAGCTAACTTTTGTATTTTTAGTACAGATGGGGTTCACCATGTTGGCCAGGATGATTTCCAATCTCTTGACCTGCCTGCCTCAGTCTCCCAAAGTGCTTGGATTACAAGTGTGAGCCAACCACACCTGAGCTAGTACCAATTCTTAAACCAACTGGCCTGCTCCATCATACCCACCACATTCTATCTCCTAGGGGCATGCTCCCACCCCTGCTAGAGTGCCCTTTCTACATAGCTTCCAGACCTGTGACAAGTACGTTCTAAAATGCGGCAGGTACTAGAGATGCTCCAGAGAACCTTGATTTACATACCTGTCAACTGAGAGAAGTCCTCTAGCCCAGGCTTTAGTGTTCGAATCATCCCAAGCTGCTCATCCCAGTTTTGGGTAACTGCCTGGACAAAGATTTCTTGTGAAGGAAAGCAATTTGAACCTTGTTTAAAAGTTGTTCCCTTGACCTTCAAATGGTCAAATAAATATAGCAGTGATGCAGAAATATTTATAATTTCCAGAAACAGTCATTAAGATCTTACAAATCGTATTTCCAAAAAGGTTTCACAATTTTTTTTTGGAGACAGTCTCACTGTTGCCCAGGCTGGAGTGCAGTGGCGTGATCTTGGCTCACTGCAACCTCTGCCTCCCGGGTTCAAGCAATTCTCCTGCCTCAAACCTCCCACGTAGCTGGGATTATAGGTGTGAGCGACCGCGCCCAGCCATTTTTTTCTTTTTTTTTTTTCGTAGAGACAGGGTTTCACCAAATTGGCCAGGCTTATCTCCAATCCCTGACCTCGTGATCTGCCTGCCTCTGCCTCCCAAAGTGCTGGATCACAGGCATGAGCCACTGCACCTGGATTTTTTAAAAGGAGTCTCTCATCTTAATGTCGTGCAGCCTGGCTTGTCCTTTGGCCTAGCTACATCATGGCAGGGATCTCTGAAGACACTGTGTCCAGGGGCTGCCAGTGACAGTCCATCAGAGCATCATACAGCTCCTCACTCTGTTCCATGAACTCCTTGTTGGCCTCAGTCACATCCAGCTGTGGCATGGGGTCTGAAAAATAAAGCAAGAATGGGGGTCAAGGGACCTGGGTCAGTTCCCTTCCAGAACTCTGTTCTATAGTAAGGTCCCTATCCTGCCAGTTTCTTTTAGGAAATGAAACCACTGCCTTGCAGGGTTCTGGGGAAGATGAAAATAGGATAACAAATCTAGAGAATAGAAAAATGGCACCTGTTAGCCTACATCTATTAAAAGTTACACCTGTGTCTCTAGCCACCATTTATCCTGGATTTTCTGGTCTGGTTTAGAAGGTCTAATCAAAGTTATTAAGTCTAGAGCATCATCTCAAGACTTGACCGGGGAGTTACTAGGTTCAATGGCAGGCTTTATTAATGCAGTAGTAGAGCATAAAGTCCAGGGCGGGATTGGACTGCAGGGATTCTAAGACAGACTCCACCTCCTGTTATTATGTTGTACTTTCTCTGTTGCCCAGGCAAGTGCAGCCCTGTAAACACTGCTCACTGCAGTCTCAACCTCTCAACCCCCGGGGCTCAAGGGATCCTGCCACCTCAGCCTCCTGAATAGCTGGGACTACAGGTGTGAGGCACCATGCGAGGTTAACTTTTTGTATTTTCTGTATAGATAGGGTCTCACTGTGTTCCCCAGGCTGGTCTCGAACTCTGGGACTCAAGAGGTCCTCCCACCTTAGCTTCCCAAAGCTATGCTGACCTTGATTGAGAACTAACTTAGGTCAGCTTTCTATTCTACAAAATCAGGATAACTGGAATTTACCTCTAGATTGTTCTGAAGATGAAATGACTTAATATATGTAAACTGCTTACAACAGTGCCTTGCATATAGTACAGCTTCAATAACTATTAGTTACTACTACTGATAACTGCTTTTGGCTCAGTGTTCTTTTCTGCCTAATGGGAATTGGAATGGTACCTATCCATCCTGATACCTGAGAGATAACAGTGCATGGCATAAAATACATTGGCCATATAGGCCAGACACAGTGGCTCATGCCTGTAATCCCAGCACTTTGGGAGGCCAACGCGGGTGGATCACTTGAGGTCAAGTGTTCAAGATTAGCCTGACCAACTGGTGAAACCCCTCTCTACTAAAAATACAAAATTAGCTGGGTATGGTGGGACACGCCTGTAATTCTAGCTACTTGGGAGGTTGAGGCAGGGGAACTGCTTGAACCCAGGAGGTGGAGGTTGCAGTAAGCTGAGATTGCACCATTGCACTCCAGCCTAGACAACAAGAACAAAATTCCATCTCAAAAAAAAAAAAAAAAAGGTCTGACATGGTGACTCATACCTGTAATCCTACCCATCACTTTGGGAGGCCAAGGAGAACAGATCATGAAATCAAGAGATGGAGACCATCCTGTCCAACTTAAGCCAACATGGTGAAACCCCATCTCTATGAAAAATACAAAAATTAACTGGGCATGGTTTCACCAGCCTGTAGTCCCAGCTACTCCGGAGGCTGAGGCAGCACAATCGCTTGAACCTGGGAGGCAGAGGTTGCAGTGAGCTGAGATCGCACCACTGCACTCCAGCCTGGTGACAGAGCAAGGCTCCATCTCAAGAAGAAAGAAAGAAGAAAAAAAAGGATGAAAAAGAGATTGGAGGCCAGGCGCGGTGGCTCAAGCCTGTAATCCCAGCATTTTGGGAGGCTGAGGCAGGTGGATCACAAGGTCAAGAGATCGAGACCATCCTGGTCAACATGGTGAAACCCCGTCTCTAGTAAAAATACAAAAAATTAGCTGGGCATGGTGGCGCGTGCCTGTAATCCCAGCTACTTACTCAGAAGGCTGAGGCAGGAGAATTGCCTGAACCCAGGAGGTAGAGGTTGCGGTGAGCCGAGATCCCGCCATTGCACTCCAGCCTGGGTAACAAGAGCGAAGCTGTCTCCAAAAAAAAAAAAGATTAGAAAATTCTAAGGACTTATATACAAATATATATGGATATTATAATTAGGCTAATTATCTCTAGAAAGAAGGTAGTGTCTCCTGGGCGGAAAGAGGTAGAGACTTGAGTATAAAAAGACCATGACTGTCCTGACTGCCCCACACTGTGTGACCCTCAGCAGATCACTTGGGCTTTCCAAGCCACTCGTTCCCCATCTGTGAAGTGGAGCTCCTACATCTTTCCCAGACCACCTGACATGGTCACCACAGTTGGCATCACATGAAATGACATGTGAAAGTAATTTAAAACATTATGGGGGGAGGTGGGGAGGGATAGCCTGGGGAGAAATGCCAAATGTGGGTGAAGGGGAGAAGAAAAGCAAAGCACACTGCCATGTGTGTACCTACGCAACTGTCTTGCATGCTCTGCTCATGTACCCCAAAACCTAAAATCCAATAAAAAATTAAAAAACAAACAAACAAACAAACAAAAAATTATGAATTAGAAAAGTTTGTTCATGGTCTAAAAGTGATGTTTCCTTTAATGAACATTTTCTTCACCTAAAACATTTTCCCTATGACTTCTCTTGAAGAATAATCCTTAAAATAGATTTCAAACTTTGAGTCTTTTTACTGGGTGCAGTTGGCCAGCACTTTGGGAGGCCAAAGTGGGCAGATCACCTGAGGTCAAGAGTTTTGAGACCAACCTGAGCAACATGGAGAAACCCTGTGTCTACTAAAAATACAAAATTAGCTGGGTGTGGTGGCACATGCCCGTAATCCCAGCTACTCAGGAGGTTGAGGCAAGAGAATGGCTTGAACCTGGGAGGTGGAGGTTGCAGTCAGCCGAGATTGGAGAGAGTGCCACTGCACTCCAGACTGGGTGACAGAGCAAGACTCTGTATCAAAAAAAAAAAAAGAGAGATGGAGTCTCACTATGTTGCCCAGGCTGGTCTCCAAGTTCTAGGCTCAAGTCATCCTCCAAGCCACCTTGGCCTTCCAAAGACCTTATAGGCTTTAGCCAATGTGCCCAGATAATAAATACTTTTTTTTTTTTTTGAGAAGGAGTTTCGGCTGGGCATGGTGGCTCACACCTGTAATTCAAGCACTTTGGAGGCCAAGGTGGGCGGATCACCTGAGGTCAGGAGTTCAAGACCGGCCTGACCAACATGGTGAAACCCTGTCTTTATGAAAAAAAAAAAAAAAAAAAAAAAAAGAATAAATTAAAAAAGAGAAGGAGTTTCACTCTTTACCCAGGCTGGAGTGCAATGGAGTGTTCTTGGCTCACTGCAACCTCCACCTCCCGGGTTTAAGCGATTCTCCTGTCTCAGCCTCCCAAGGAGTTGGAATTACACCATGGGCTACCATGCCTGGCTAATTTTGTATTCTTAGTAGAGACAGGGTTTCATAATGTTAGCCAGGCTGGTCTCGAACTCCTGACCTCAGGTGATTTAACCACTTCAGTTTCCCAAAGTGCTGGAATTATACACATGAGCCTCTGCAGTTGGCCTAGTAAATTTTTTTTTTGAGACGGAGTCTTGCTCTGTTGCCAGGCTGGAATGCAGTGGCACGATCTCGGCTTACTGCAACCTCCTGGGTTCAAGCAATTCTCCTGCCTCAGCCTCCCGAGCAGCTGGTACTACAGGCATGTGCCACCACGCCCAGCTAATTTTTGTATTTTTAGTAGAGATGGGTTTCACCATGTTAGCCAGGATGGTCTTGATCTCTTAACCTTGTGATCCACCCTCCTTGGCCTCCCAAAGTGCTGGGATTACAGGCATAAGTCACCGCGCCCAGCCCCTGGCCTAAATATTTTTAATTAAAAAATTGTTGGCAGGGCACGGTGGCTCACGCCTGTAATCCCAGCACTTTGGGAGGCTGAGGCGGGCGGATCACAAGATTAAGAGATCGAGCCCATCCTGGCCAACATGGTAAAACCCCGTCTCTACTAAAAATACAAAAATTAGCTGGGCGTGGTGGCGTGTGGAGGCTGAGGCAGGATAATTGCTTGAACCCAGGAGGTGGAGGTTGCAGTGAGCCGAGATCACGCTACTGCACTCTAGCCTGGCAACAGAGCAAGACTCCGTCTCAAAAAAAAAAAAAAATTATCGGGAATTCTCAACTTAATCTGGATCAAAAAAGAGAAAAAGAAAAGAAAAAAGTTTAAAAAATAATAATAATGGCTGGGTACCATTATTGGTCATAATGGTCAAATTTGTTTTATAAATGGTCAAGCAAATATAAAGTAACAGTATTATCGTTAGAGGCCCACATCCTGGGATAGTATGCCACATGTCGAGGGGGTGATGGGCTCTCTTGGATCTGTACTCACACCTCTGGGTAACACTCAACACATCTTACTGTAAGTACGTATTCGTCTGGCTGTCTAACCAGAATATAAGTTCTTCCAGAGCAGAATTTACCCTGTCTTCCCTCTAGCTGAAAGCACAGTGCAAGCCAGAGTAGTCACCTGATAATGGCTGACAGAGGAAGAAACACATGAGCCCTTACCTTCCAATGCATCATCTCCAACTTCTTCATATGTCTGCCAAGAGACCAGAGACGTGGGTGAGGGGGGTGATGAAATCCCGGCCCATGATCACAATGGCTTATTGATTTTTTATTTTTTGAGGGGGAATCTAGCTCTGTCACCCAGACTGGAGTGCAGGGGAGTGATCTCGGCTCACTGCAACATCTGCATCCCAGTTTCAAATGATTCTCCTGCCTCAGTCTTCTGAGTAGCTGGGATTATAGGCACCTGCCACTATGTCTGGCTAATTTTTTGCATCTTTAGTAGAGGCAGGGTTTCACCATGGTGGCCAGGCTGGTTTTGAACTCCTGACCTCAGGTGATCCGCCTGCCTTGGCCTCTCAAAGTGCTAGGATTATGGGCATGAGCTACTGTGCCTGGCCCACAGTGACTTATTTTTAACGAGGAACTGGACTGCTTCAGCTTTCCGCATTTTTTCTGAAGCCCAAGCTCCTGTCCTTACCAATCCCATCCTAGAGAATGACCTGTTTCTAGAGGAGAGACATAACCCAAGGGGACCAGACTTGCCAAGTCATGGTTACCTGCATGGTGCTCTGAGTATAGCCATACTGGGGGTAACTGTAGCTATAGCTGCCTGTGTTCTGGTCATAGCCCCACTGAGCATAGTAGTTCTGGTACTGCTGGTAATACTGGTTGTAGCTGTAACTGTACATCTGACTATATTCCACTGGCTTTACACGGCTCCTTAAATGAAGAGGGAAACAAAAGTAAGTGTAAGCAAACATTTCCACAACGCTGCCTACATAGCCAGAGACTATTTTAAGTGCTTTATACCAATTAACTCTTCTGTTTTATTTTATTTTTATTTTTTTGAGAGAGAGTCTCCCTCTGTCACCAGGTGTCAGGCTGGAGTACAGTGTTGGGATCTTGGCTCACTGCAACCTCCGCCTCCTGGGTTCAAGCAATTCTCCTGCCTCAGCCTCCTAAGCAGCTGGGACTACAGACATGCGCCACCACCCCCAGCTAACTTTTGTATTTTCAGTAGAGATGGGGTTTCACCATGTTGGCCAGGATGGTCTCCATCTCTTGACCTTGTGATCTGCCTGCCTTGGCCTCCCAAAGTGCTGGGATTACAGGCGTGAGCCACCGTGCCCAGCCCTGTTTTACTGTTCTTTTTTTTGCTAAAAACAGGGTTCACCATATTGGCCAGGATGGTCTTGATCTCCTGACCTCATGATCCACTTGCCTCAGCCTCCCAAAGTGCTGGGATTACAGGCGTGAGCCACCACGCCCAGCTATACCGATTAACTCTTTTAATCCTCAAAACAGCCATAAACAATAAGTAGACCATTCCTATTTTACAGATGAGGAAACCCAGGAATAGAGAGGTCAAGTAATTTATCCAAAGTCAGACAACTAATATGAGACTCAAAAAGAGGCAAAATGGCTCCAGAGACCATGCTTTTAAGACAGGAGGTTTTTGTGTTTTTTTTTGTTTTTAAAGACAAAGGGTTTTAATGGATAGGTTTGTCTCTCTTATCGAACTTTGTCAGGACTGACAAAAGGATATCCTGGTTTTTTTTTTTTGAGACGGAGTTTCGCTCTTGTTACCCAGGCTGGAGTGCAATGGCGCGATCTCGGCTGGGTTCAGGCAATTCTCCTGCCTCAGCCTCCTGAGTAGCTGGGATTACAGGCATGTGCCACCATGCCCAGCTAAGTTTTTGTATTTTTAGTAGAGACAGGGTTTCACCATGTTGACCAGGATGGTCTCGATCTCTTGACCTTGTGATCCGCCCGCCTCGGCCTCCCACAGTGCTGGGATTACAGGCGTGAGCCACCGCGCCCGGCGGATAACCTGTTTAAAAAACAAAAAACAACTTTGGGAGGCCGAGGCGGGTGGATCACAAGGTCAAGAGATCAAGACCATCCTGGTCAACAAGGTGAAACCCGTCTCTACCAAAAATACAAAAATTAGCTGGGCATGGTGGTGCGTGCCTGTAGTCCCAGCTACTTGGGAGGCTGAGGCAGGAGAATTGCTTTAACCCAGGAGGCGGAGGCTGCGGTGAGCCGAGATCGTGCCATTGCACTCCAGTCTGGGTAACAACAGCAAAACTCCGTCTCAAAAAAAAAAACACACACACACAAACAAAAATTCCTAAATCATTACTTTTAAAAAACATGGCCATTTGGCAGGGCATGGTGGCTTATGCATATAATCCCAGCACTTTGGGAGGCTGAGGCAGGCAGATCACCTCAGATAAGCAGTTCAAGACTAGCCTGGTCAACATGTGAAACCCTGTCTCTACTAAAACTACAAAAATTAGCTGGGCATGGTGGCACACACCTGTAGTGACAGCTACTCAGAGGCTGAGGCAGGAGAATCACTTTAACCCAGGAGGTGGAGGCTGCAGTGAGCTGAGTTTGAATGCCACTGCACTCTAGCCTGGGCAACAGAGCAAGACTACATCTCAAAAAAACAAAAACAAAAACAAAAACAAAAAACACCCCAAAAAAACATAGCCATTTGCATTTGGAAATTCTATCCTAAGAGTTCAGCTACTCTTAGGGTAGAGTTTGGCTCAGCGTCTCTCAGCCTGGATCTATTGACAGAAGGTCATAAGGTGGTAGGAGGCTGTCAATGACAGGATATTTAGTAGCATCCTTGGCTGATACCCACTAACCCACTAGGTGCCATTAGTACATCCTTGGTTGTGATAACCAAAAATGTCTCCAGATGCTGTAAATGTCCCCTGGGAGGCAAAATCACTCTAGTTGAGAATAATTAATTTGGCTAAAGAAGAAAAGATCCAGCCAGGCACAGTAGCTTATGCCTGTAATGCCAACACTTTGGGAGGCCAAGGTGGGCAGACTGCTTGAACCCAGGAATTCAAGACAAGCCTGGGCAACAAAAATACAAAAAATACAAAATAACCCTATCTCTACAAAAAATACAAAAATTTACTAAGTATAGTGGTGTGCACCTATAGTCCCAGCTAATCAGAAGGCTGAGATTCGAGGATCACCTGAGCCCAGGGAGGGCAAGGCTGCAATGAGTCATGATTTCCAGCCTGGGTGAGTTTGAGACTCTGCTCAGGGAAAAAACAAACAAAAAATCCTATTCAGAGAAAAGTCTGGAGTTGTAAGGGAAAAAGTTTTTCTTTTTTTTTTTTTTTGAGACAGAGTTTCGCTCTTGTTACCCAGACTGGAGTGCAATGGCACGATTTTGGCTTACCGCAACCTATGCCTTCTGGGTTCAAGCAATTCTCCTACCTCAGCCTCCCGAGTAGCTGGGATTACAGGTGCACACCACCATGCCCAGCTAATTTTTGTATTTTTAGTAGAGACGGGGTTTCACCTTGTTGACCAGGATGGTCTCGATCTTTTGACCTCGTGATCCACCCACCTCGGCCTCCCGAAGTGCTGGGATTATAGGCGTGAGCCATCGCACCCGGCCGGGAAAAAGTTTTTCTACCTAGCATGATAGGTATAATGTGAAGTATATAATGTTCTGTAGAGTGTCTGAAATATTTTTTTTTTTTAATTGAGCCAGAGTCTCACTCTGTTGCCTAGGCTAGAGTGCACTGGTGCCGTCTTGGCTCACTGCAACCTCTGCCACCCAGGTTCAAGTGATTCTCCTGCCTCAGCCTCCTGAGCTGTGGAGACTACAGACATGCAACACCATGCCCGGCTAATTTTTGTGTTTTTAGTAGAGACGGGGTTTCACAGGTTGGCCTGGCTGGTCTCAAATTCCTGACCTCAGGTGATCCACCAACCTTGGCCTCCCAGTGCTGCAATTACAGCTGTGAGCCATTGCTGCTGGCCAAGTGTCTGTAATATTAATTCTTATCCATTCCCACAGCATGGTGCACTCATAGGAGGGTTGTAGTTTTCATTAAATAAGGCTAAAACTGGAAGTAATTTTTTCCTTTTGCTCAAATGTTATTAATTCTATGAATAAGTTCCCAGTAGTGGGACTACTGGGCAAAGAGCAGGGACATCAGGTATGAACAGCCAAACAACTTTTCCAATGCTACCACTAGCAACATCTGAATGTATCAGCCTTTCCAAATCATACTCTATCCCAACTATAAGCTTCTGCAGGAGTGGGGCTGGTTCATTTTCTACTCACAGCCTGGCAAACAGCAGGCATTCAGTACTTGTGACTTAAATTGGATCCCACTTCAGCCTCCCATCCAGCATATGGATGCCCTGATTCTCAGCAAACAAAAAGAGTGTCTGGAGGGGAGTCTAGAGTCTCTCTACCTTCCCTGCAAGACTCACGCTTTAGGGATTGCCACGCTCAGCCGCACAGGTTTAGACCCCAGTCCCACTGCTCCCTGGCACTCCGTCAGGGCCCGTTTCTGTTCCAGTTCATCTGTGAATTTCACAAAACCATAACCCCTGCATGAAAAACAAACAATATACAATTTAGATCACAAATGTGATGAAAGTCTAAGAATGGACACATGAAAAAGAAGGAAGGATAAGAAGGTAGACAGGAATGCAGAAAGGAAAAGAGGCTGAGGAGAGAGAGAGTCCAGTATGTGAAAAATATATATATAGGAAGCGGCCAGGTGTGGTGGCTCACATCTGTAATCCTAGCCACCGTGCCTGGCTTTTATATATATATATATATATATATATATTTTTTTTTTTTTTTTTTTTGAGATGGATTTTTGCTCTTATTGCCCAGGCTGGAGTGCAATGGTGCAATCTCAGCTCACTGCAACCTCTGCCTCCCAGGTTCAAGTGATTCTCCTGCCTCAGCCTCCTGAGTAGCTGGGACTACAGGCATGTGCCGCCGTGCCTGGCTAACTTTTGTATTTTTTTTTTTTTTGAGATGGAGTTTCACTCTTGTTGCTCAGGCTGGAGTGCAATGGTGTGATATCAGCTCACTGCAATCTCTGCCTCCCGGGTTCAAGCAATTCTCCTGCCTCAGCCTCCCGAGTAGCTGGGACTACAGGAATGTGCCACCATGCCTGGCTAATTTTTTGTATTTTTAGTAGAGCCAGGGTTTCTCCATGTTGCTCAGGCTGTTCTTGAACTCCCGACCTCAGGTGATCCACCCACCTCAGCCTCCCAAAGTGCTGGGATTACAGGCATGAGCCACTGTACCCAGCCAATGTTTGTATTTTTTTAGTAGAGATGGGGTTTTGATGTTGGCCAGGCTGGTCTCAAACTCCTGACCTCAGATGATTCACCTGCCTCAGCCTCCCAAAGTGCTAGGATTACAGGCGTGAGCCACTGTACCCAGCCAATGTTTGTATTTTTTTTAGTAGAGATGGGGTTTTGATGTTGGCCAGGCTGGTCTCAAACTCCTGACCTCAGGTGATTCACATGCCTCAGCCTCCCAAAGTGCTGGCATTACAGGTGTGAGCCACCACACCCACCCTGGTTTTTCTAATTTTGAAGTGGAAAACTCTTTTTTTTTTTTTTTGATGGAGACAGAGTCTCACTCCATCAGCAAGGCTGGAGTGCAGTGGTGCAATCTTGACTCACTGCAACCCATACCTTCCGGGTTCAAGCAATTCTCCTACCTCAGCCTCCTGAGTAGCTGAAACTACAGGTGCCTGCCACCACGCCCGGCTAATTTTTTGCATTTTAGTAGAGACAGGGTTCCACCATGTTCCCTAGGCTGGTCTTGAACTCCTGAGCGCATGCAATCCGCCTGCCTCGGATCCTCAAAGTGCTAGGATTACAGGCATGAGCCACTGCACCCGGCCTGAAGTGGAAAACTTCTAACTACACTGAAAGGCTCGGTAATAATAATAGGCGGCCCAGTGCGGTGGCTCATGCCTGTAATCCTAGCACTTTGGGAGGCCGAGGTGGGTGGATCACCTGAGGTCAGGAATTCAAGACCAGCCTGGCCATCATGGTGAAAGCTCATATTTATAAAAAAAATAATAATAATTAAAAAATAATAATAATAGTAGTAGTAATAATAAGAACAATAATAGGCAATGCCGGGCACGGTGGCTCAAGCCTGTAATCCTAGCACTTTGGGAGGCCGAGGTGGGTGGATCACGAGGTCAAGAGATCGAGACCATCCTGGTCAACAAGGTGAAACCCCGTCTCTACTAAAAATACAAAAATTAGCTGGGCATGGTGGTGCATGCCTGTAGTCCCAGCTACTCGGGAGGCTGAGGCAGGAGAATTACTTGAACCCAGAAGGCAGAGGTTGCGGTGAGCCGAGATCGTGCCATTGCACTCCAGTCTGGGTAACAACAGCGAAACTCCATCTCAAAATAAGTAAATAAATAAAATAATAGGCAAAACAACAAACACCTATGAAGCATTTCAAATGTGACTTATTTATATTATATCCTTTAATCCTTAAATCAACCCTATAGGCAGCTACTATTACTCAGCTACATTTTACAGATGGGGCTGTAAGGGTCACGGAGGTGCTAGTAACTTGTCTTAGAAGTTACTGGCATTGGCTGGGCGCAGTGCCTCACGCCTATAATCCCAGCACTCTGGGAGGCCGAGGCAGGTGGATCACGAGGTCAAGAGATCGAGACCATCCTGGTCAACAAGGTGAAACCCTGCCTCTACTAAAAATACAAAAATTAGCTGGGCATGGTGGTGCGCGCCTGTAGTCTCAGCTACTCGGGAGGCTGAGGCAGGAGAATTGCTTGAACCCAGGAGGCAGAGGTTGCAGTGAGATAGTGCCATTGCATTCCAGTCTCGAGCAAAACTCCGTCTCAAAAAAAAAAAAGTTACCGGCCTTCTACAATACTGGCATTCTTCCACACCAGTATTGGAGCTGGGATTCGAACCAGGCAGTTTAGCTCCAGAGCTTGTGGTTTTAACCGCTATGCTACATGGCCTTTCTAAAACATCTCCACTCATGAGAGAATGCTGAAACTAACACAGTAAGCATCAGTAACAGGTAAGGCCTTACTTAGACACGCCTGTCTGGTCCAAAACCACCTTGCCTCCCCGACAGGAGGGATAGACTTTGACGAAGAATTCATACAGCATGCCATCATCCACGTCTGGGGTCAGGTCCCCCACAAAGAGGGAATACTCAGGGCTGAGGAGAGAGAACAAGAAGATTCAGAGGCAAAGACCGAAATATCTGCTCTGAAGAGCCCTTTCACATATTCCAGGTAAAGTTTTCCCAGACCCCTTAAGGAACACATATGATGACTCTACTTAACTAGGGCCTACTTGTTTCATTATAGCAGTCCTGGCAGAAGAGTTATGGAAGCAGTGCCTGCCCCAAATCCCTCACCCACTACACAGAACTTGTCTGACTCCAAGTATTACATGAGTGCAGATTCGGGGATGGGGTCAGAAGTGCATCTCTGGGCCAGGCGCGGTGGCTCACACCTATAATCCCAGCACTTTGGAAGGTTACTCATGAGGTCAAGAGATCAAGACCATCCTGGTCAACAAGGTGAAACCCCGTCACTACTAAAAAAAATACAAAAATTAGCTGGGCATGGTGGTGCGTGCCTATAGTCCTAGCTACTCGGGAGGCTGAGGCAGAAGAATTGCTTGAACCCAGGAGGCGGAGGTTGCGGTGAGCCGAGATCGTGCCATTGCACTCCAGCCTGGGTAACAAGAGCAAAACTCTGTCTCAAAAAAAAAAAAAGAATACACAAAAATACCAGGCACAGTGGCTCATGCCTGTAATCCCAGCACTTTGGGAGGGAGGCCAAGGCAGGTGGATCACCTGAGGTCGGGAGTTCAAGAACAGCAACATGGAGAAACCCCATCTCTACTAAAAATACAAAATTAGCCAGGCGTATATGCCTGTAATCCCAGTTACTCAGCAGGCTGAGGCAGGAAAATCACTTGAACCTGGGAGGAGGAGGTTGCAGTGAGCCAAGATCATGCCATTGCACTCCAGCCTGGGCAATAGGAGCGAAACTCTATCTCCAAAAAAAAAAAAAAAAAAAAAAAGAATATACAAAATCACAAAGAAAAATAAAATTGCTATAACCAACCACTTGAAGATAATCACCAAAATGCTTTGATATATATACTTTTGTCTTATTTTCTTATGGCTTTTCTTCTAAATGTTCATAAATACAATCCATCCTCCCCCCGTGCTACTGCTCAGAGTATTGAAGTTTTATTCAATAAGAATTGGTCTGTTATCCAGGTCCAGTGGCTCCTGCCTATAATCCCAGCACTTTGGGAGGCAGAAGCAGACAGATTGCTGAGCCTAGGAGTTCCAAGAACAGCCTGGGCAACATGGCAAAACCCTGTCTCTACAAAAAAATATAAAAATTATCCAGATGTGGTGGCATGTACCTGTAGTACATCGTATTTTGTTTATAGTATTTTTTTTCAGTTTCAACATATTGCCAACATCTTGACATGGCAGGATACTGCAACATGACTTGTTAGTGGATACATAGCATCCTAACTAATGACCATAATTTAATCACTTCCCTACTATTAGGTTATTCTTTACCCATTATACACAATACTTCAATGAACACATCTGAGGGAATCTTTGCACACATCCATGAATAAATACTGAAAAGCAGAATTACAGGGTCAATGCATATAAACGTTTTTAAAGCTTTTGGTACACTATTTTAAAGCTTTCAAATGGCAACCTGAAATGCCAATCAATTTATGTTGCTATAACAGGCCAATTCTTTGGCTTTGTTTTCTTTTCTTTTGCAACAGAGTTTCACTCTTGTTGTCCATGCTGGAGTGTAGTGGCCTGATCTCCACTCACTGCAACTTCTGCCTCCTGGGTTCAAGTGATTCTCCTGCCTCAGCCTTCCAAGTAGCTGGGATTACAGGCGCCCACCACCATGCCTGGCTAATTTTTTTTTTTTTTGTATTTTTAGTAGAGACGGGGTTTGCCAAGTTGGCCAGGCTGGTCTCAAACTCCTGGCCTCAAGTGATCTACCCACCTAGGCCTCCCAAAGTGCTGGGATTACAATCGTGAGCCACCACGCCCAGCCTCTTTGTTTTTTTCTCTTGAGACAGGGTATCACTCTATTGCCCAGGCTGGAGTGCAGTGGCATGATCATGGCTCACTGTAGCCATGATCATTGTAGCATTCCCTGGGCTCAGGTGATCCTCCTGCCTCAGCCTCCTAAGTAGCTGGAACTACAGGTACATGCCACCACATCTGGATAATTTTTATATTTTTTTGTAGAGACAGGGTTTTGCCATGTTGCCCAGGCTGTTCTTGGAACTCCTAGGCTCAGCAATCTGTCTGCTTCTGCCTCCCAAAGTGCTGGGATTATAGGCAGGAGCCACTGGACCTGGATAACAGACCAATTCTTATTGAATAAAACTTCAATACTCTGAGCAGTAGCATGGAGGGAGGCCAGGGATAGGGACCAAATATATAAAAGCCATGGCCTTGCATGAAGCACACCAGGAAGGTCCACCAGGACAGGGAAGTGAGAAGGGCAGTGTCCCTCACCAGGGGACAAAGTGCAGCCAAACAGGTTCCCTTCCTCCTATATGGCAGTAACTGGCACAGGGACACATCTTATCTCTAGACATGACTTTGTACCTACCTGTTATCTGGTTGTTTCCCATAAGTGGCATAGTTCAGTTTAAAACGTTTCGCCTGGAAATTTAAAAATAAACAAACTAAAACAGAGAAAGGTGTTTCAAGAGTTGAACAATATTTGAAAAAAACTGAAATAAATTACCTTGGCCAAAACATCTCCCCCTCTCTAAGCCTCAGCTTTTTCTCCTGTATAAAATGAGGGGGTTGCACGGATGATCGCTAAGGGCACTGCCAGCTCCATGGTTCTATGAGCCCAGGTGTGCCAGCTGGTGCAGCTGTAAGCTAAGTAACTGTGGGAAGAGCAGAATGCAACTCTCTTGAAATGTGTCCTTGCTGCTGCCAGCCTGTTCTACTTTCTCAATCAGGCAAGAGGTCTAGAGTTTCAAGTCTTCTGTTATGGGAGGCAGCAATGCAGAATGGGAAGGGCATGGATTTAAGAAGCAACCAGTCTTCCGTCTGAATCCTGGCTCTGCCACTTACTACCTGTGTTGCCTTGGGCAAGTTATTTCACTTCCCTGAGCTTCACTTTCCTGGGCCTACAAAGATAACAATGCCTACTGCACTGGGTTATTATAGGATTAAATAAAAGGATTACATAAAATAAGTATACAGTAGGGATTCAAGAGATTGTAGTAAGCAGTGACAATAATAATGGCAACATCATCATTATCTAAATGTCCTTACAGGTGTGGCTCCTGGAAGGGGTTTCCCATTAATTTTATGCAAACACTTCTCAGCTGTGGCCAAATCTGCGAATTCTACAAAGCAGTAGCCAGCTGGGATCCTGGAAAAAAAGTAAACAGAGAAAGAAAATAAGAAAATGTTAAAGATAAAATGACTCAAAATGAGGCCGGGCACGATGGCTCACACCTATAATCACAACACTTTGGGACAGTCCCAGCTTTCTTGGGAGACTGTAACCAGGAGGTGGAGATTGCAGTGAGTGGAGATCACACCACACTGCACTCCGGCCTGGACAACAGGCTGATTTGAGACTCTGTGTCAAACAAAAAAGAAAATAAAAAGACTCAACATGAGTGTTAGCCTTGAAGGGAGAAAGAAATGGTTTTCTAATCTGAGTCAGCACTGACTTTGTTCCCTCCAAAACCCAGCTCAGACCTAACTTACAAACCTGAATATAAGGACTGCCAATCTGGGCCAATCCAAGATTCATTGATCTTATTTATTTATTTATGAGCTGGATCTTGGCTGGATCTCGGCTCACTATAACCTCCGACTCTCAGGTTCAAGTAATTATCCTGCCTCAGCCTCCTGAACAGCTGAAATTACAGGTGCCCACCATCATGCCTGGTTAATTTTCCTATTTTTAGTAGAGACAGGGTTTTGCCATGTTGGTCAGGCTGGTCTTGAACTCCTGACCTCAAGTAATCCACCCACCTCCACCTCCCAAAGTGCTGGGATTACAGGCCTGAGCCACAGCATCTGGCCCCAGACTTATTTAGTAAACATTTATTTATGCATTTTATAATGAGTGAAATACTCCTGCCAAACTTGTTTTATGTAATCTCATCAAGCCTTTAGATCAAAGATCCAGTTTCCAGGAAATTTTATGAATAGACTATGTAAAACACAATGAATCCAGAATGTAGGATCTTATATAAAGACAACTAGCCTTACCTCCTTAAAAAATTAAACAATATGAGAAAAGAAAGAGGTTTGGCTTTTGTACATTAAGAAACTCAGAACTAAATCTTATGCAGTTTCCTAGATTGCATTATAATTCACTAATAAATAAAAAAATTATCAATATTGTGGGGACAATTATAAAAATTTAAATGTAGGCCCGGCGCAGTGGCTCATCCCAGCACTTTGGGAGGCCAAGGCGGGCAGATCAGGAGGTCAGGAGATAGAGACCATCCTGGACAACATGGTGAAACGCCATCTCTACTACAACTACAAAAAAATTAGCTGGGCATGGTGGCGCACCCTGTAGTCCCAGCTACTCAGGAAGCTGAGGCAGGAGAATTGCTTGAACCCAGGAGGCGGAGACTACAGTGAGCCGAGATCACGCCACAGTACTACATACTACAGCCTGAGCAACAGTGTGAGATTGGTCTCAAGAAAACCAAATCACATAGCTGGTATGTGCTAAAGTATGGATCTAAATTCAGGACAGCCGACTATTTGTTATTTGAGATGGAGTTTTACTCTTGCTGCCGAAGCTGGAGTGCAATGGCTCGATCTCAGCCCACGGCAACTTCTGCCTCCCAGATTCAAGCTATTCTCCTGCCTCACCCTCCCAAGTAGCTGGGATTACAGGCATGCACCACCCCGCCCTGCTAATTTTGTATTTTTTTTAGTAGAGATGGGGTTTCTCCCTATTGGTCAGACTGATCTCAAACTGCCAACCTCAGGTGATCTGCCTGCCTTGGACTCCCAAAGTGCTGGGATTACAGGCATGAGCCACTGAGCCCAGCCAAATATTTATTTAAGAGACAGGGTTGGCCAGGAACTGGTGGCCCAATACTTTGGGAGGCCAAGGCAGGCAGATCACCTAAGTCAGGAGTTTGAGACCAGCCTGGCTAACATGGTAAAACCCTGTTTCTACTAAAAATTAGCTGGGCATGGTGGTGCATGCCTGTAATCCCAGCTACTCGGGAGGCTGAGGTGGGAGTATCGCTTGAACCTGCGAGGCAGAAGTTGCAGTTAGCCAAGATTGTGCCATTGCACTCCAGCTTGGGCAACAAAAGCAAAACTCAGTCTTAAAAAAAAAGAGAGACATGGTCAGGCCAGGTGTGGTAGTTCATGCCTGTAATCCTAGCACTTTGGGAGGCCAAGGCGGGCAGAACATTGGAGGTCAAGAGTTCGAGACCAGCCTGGACAATATAGTGAAACTGCTGGGTGCAGTGGCATGTGCCTGTAGTCCCAGCTACTTGGGAGGCTGAGTGGGAGGATTGCTTGAGCCCGGGAGTTCTGGGCTGTAGTGTACTATGCTGATCAGGTGTCCGCACTAAGTTCAACATCAATATGGTGACTTCCCTAGAGCGGGGGACCACCAGGTAGCCTAAGGAGGGGTGAACCAGCCCTGGTCAGAAACAGAGCAGGCCAGCCGGGCGTGGTGGCTCACGCCTATAATCCCAGCACTTTGGGAGGCTGAGGCAGGTGGATCACGAAGTCAAGAGATCGAGACCATCCTGGTCAACATGGTGAAACCCCATCTCTACTAAAAATACAAAAATTAGCTGAGCGTGGGGGTGCATGCCTGTAGTCCCAGCTACTCGGGAGGCTGAGGCAGGAGAATTGCTTGAACCCAGAAGGTGGAGGTTGCGGTGAGCCGAGATCGTGCCATTGCACTCCAGTCTGGGTAACAACAGCGAAACTCCGTCTCAAAAAAACAAAAACAAAAACAAAACAAAACAAAAAAAACCTAAATATACACGATGTAACCTGAGATCAGCAAGTCCAGGCCTGTATGTTTCCCTAAGAGAAATGAAAACATACATTTATGTTTTCACACAAAAAGAGGACTTGTAAAATAATATTCACCACAGCAGTATGACAATAGCCAAAAACAGCAAACAGCCTGGGTATCTATGAGGAGGTGAATAAATAAACAAATACTGATATAGTCATACAATGCAATACTCTTCAGCTACAGAAAGAAACTACTGATACAGCAACAATGTGGATGAATCTCCAAAACAAGCTGAATGAAAGACACCTTATAGCTGGGCTCGGTGGCTCACACCAGTAATCCCAGCACTTTGGGAGGTTGAGATGGGTGGATCACCTGAGGTCGGGAGTTTGAGACTAGCCTAACGTGGAGAAACCCATCTCTAATGAAAATACAAAATTAGCCAGAAATGGTGGCACATGCCTGTAATCCCAGCTACCCAGGAGACTGGGACAGGAAAACTGCTTGAACCAAGGAGGCGGAGGTAATGGTGAGCCAAGATTGCCCCACTGCAATCCAGCGTGGGTAACAAGAGCGAAACTCAGTTTCAGAAAAAAAAAAAAAAGAAAGACACCTTACACTATGATTTATTTCAAATTCTAGAATACACAAAATTAATCTGTGGTGGAAATAAGTCAGCCCCTAGAAGGATTTGTGCATTTCACAGCATGTAAATTTTACAAGGAAAAAAAAGGTTTCAAACCTAGGGGCATGATCATGGCTCGCTGCAGCTTCAACTATCTGGACTCAAGCCATCCTTCTGCTTTGGCCTCCCAAAGTGCTGGGATTATAGGCATGAGACACTGCACGTGACCCCTTTTATTTATTTTACAATATTCCTTATGCCCTAAGTGCATGCAAAAAAAAAAACAACAATATTCCTGTAAGTCACTTCAAAGCCTTTGTCAAATGAGGATGTAAGTATGCCTGTAGGTAACACCATAAGTGACAGCTAGAGTTTAGAAACCATGGGTAAGAGGCCGGGTGCAGTGGGTCACACCTGTAATCCCAGCACACTGGGAGGCGAAAGTAAGTGGATCACCTGAGCTCAGGAGTTTGAGACCAGCCTGGCCAACATGGTGAAACCCCATTTCTACTAAAAATACAAAATTAGCCATGCGCGGTGGCAGCCACCTAGAAGGTAATCCCAGCTACTTGGGAGGCTGAGGCAGGAGAATCACTTGAACCAGGGAGGCAGAAGTTGCAGTGAGCCGAGATTGTGCCATTGCACTCCAGCCTGGCAAGAGTGAAACTCTGTTTCAAAAAAAAAGGCCAGGCATAGTGGCTCACACCTGTAATCCCAGCACTTTGGGAGGCTGAGGCAGGCAGATCATCTGAGGTTGGGAGTTCAAGACCAGCCTGACCAACATGGAGAAACCCAAATCTACTAAAACTACAAAATTAGCTGTGTGTCATGGCGCATGCCTGTAATCCCAGCTACTCAGGAGGCGGAGGCAGGAAAATCGCTTGAACCTGGGAGACAGAGGTTGCAGTTATCCAAGATCCTGCCATTGCACTCCAGACTAGGCAACAAGAGCAGAAATCCGTCTCAAAAAAAAAAAGGAAAAGGAAGAAACTAAGAAACGAGAAAATCGGCTGGGCGCGGTGGCTCACACCTGTTATCCGAACACTTTGGGAGGCCGAGGCAGGTGGATCACAAGGTCAAGAGATTGAGACCATACTGGTCAACATGGTGAAACCCCGTCTCTACTAAAAAAAAATACAAAAATTAGCTGGGCATGGTGGTGCGTGCCTGTAATCCCAGCTACTCAGGAGGCTGAGGCAGGAGAATTGCCTGAACCCAGGAGGCAGAGGTTGTGGTGAGCCGAGTTGGCACCATTGCACTCCAGCCTGGGTAACAGAGCAAAACTCCGTCTCAAAAAAAAAAAAAGAAATGAGAAAATCTTATTTCAATAAAGATTAAGGTCAGGCACAGTGGCTCATGCCTGTAATCCCAGTATTTTGGGAGGCTGAGCTGGGCAGATCAACTGACGTTAGGAGTCTGAGACTAGCCTGGCCAATATGATGAAAACTCAACTCTACTAAAAATAGAAAAAATTATCGGCCAGACTTGGTGGCTCACGCCTGTAATCCCAGCACTTTGGGAGGTCGAGGTAGCTGGATCACGAGGTCAGGAGTTGGAGACCAATCTGATCAACATGGTGAAATTCGTCTCTATCAAAAATACAAAAAATAGCTGGGCATGGTGGCATACACCTGTAATCCCAGCTACTTAGGAGGATGAGGAAGGAGAATTGCTTGAACCCGGGAGGCAGCGGTTGCAGTGAGCCAAGATCACACCACTGCACTTCAGCCTGGGCAACACAGCAAGACTCTGTCTCAAACTTAAAAAAAAAAAAAAAAAAAATTGCCGGTGCGGTGGCTCATGCCTACAATCCCAGAACTTTGGGAAGCCGAGGCGGGTGGATTACCTGAGGTTGGGAATTCAAGACTAGCTTGACCAACATGGAGAAATCCCATCTCTACTAAAAATAGAAAATTAGGCCAGGCGCAGCGGCTCAAACCTCTAATCCCAGCACTTTGGGAGACCGAGGCAGGCAGATCACGAGGTCAGGAGTTCAAGACCAGACTGGCCAACATGGTGAAACACTGTTTCTACTAAAAATACAAAAATCACCTGGGCATGGTAGCTCGTGCCTGTAATCCCAGCTACTTGGGAGGCTGAGACAGGAGAATTGCTTGAACCAGGACTCAGGAGGCCGAGGTTGCAGTGAGCTGAGATCTCGCCACTGCACTCCAGCCTGGGCTACAGAGCGAGATTCCATCTTGAAAAAAAAAAAATACAAAATTACCCAGGCGTGGTGACGCATGGCTGTAATCCCAGCTACTTGGGAGGCTGAGGCAGGAGAATTGCTCGAACCCAGAAGTCGGAGGTTATGGTGAGCTGAGATCTCCAGCCTGGGCAATGGGAGCAAAACTCGGTCTCAAAAAAAAAATTAGCAGGGCATGGTGGTGAGTGCCTGTAATCCCAACTACTCAGGAGGCTGAGACATGAGAATTGCCTGAACCCAGGAGGCAGAGATTGTGGTGAGCCAAGATCTTGCCTCTGTACTCCACCCTGGGTGACAAAGCGAGACTGTCTCGGGGGGTGGGGGTAAAAAAAAGAGACAAAAATGTGAGACTCTATGCTAGCGTTTTAGCTAATGTTTTCTTTTTTCTTTTTTTCCTCCCTCCCCATCCCAGCTAATGTTTTATTTATTTTTATTTTTTTATTTTTGCAACCAAGTCTCCCTCTGTCACCCAGGCTGGAGTGCAGTGGCGCAATCTTGGCTTACCACAATCTCTGCCTCTTGGGTTCAAGTGATTCCTTAGCCTCAACCTCCCAAGTAGCTGGAATTACAGGTGTGTCACCACACCTGGCTAATTTTTGTATTTGTTTAGTAGAAACGGGGTTTCACCATGTTGTCCAGACTGATCTTGAATTCCTGACCTCATATGATCAGCCTTCCTCAGTCTCCCGAAGTGTTAGGATTACAGGTGTGAGCCACTGCACTTAGCATATGCCTGTTTTAAAAAGTAAAAAGTATTAGAGAATGAATTTTCATAATAGTAGCTGATTATCTGGGTTTTTTTGCTTATGAGTAAGAACATAAATATTTAGGTGGGCATGATCTACCAGTTAGAAAAATCTTTTTATTTTTTTTTTTTTGAGATGTTCTTTTGCTCTTGTTGCCTAGGCTGAAATGCAATGGCGTGATCTCGGCTCACCGCAACTTCCACCTCCTGGGTTCAAGTGATTCTCCTGCCTCAGCTTCCCGAGTAGCTGGGATTACAGGTATAAACCACCGTGCCAGGCTAATTTTGTTTTGTTTTGTTTTGAGACCAAATTTCACTCTGTTGCCCAGACTGGAGTGCAGTGGCGAGATCTTGGCTCACTGCAAACTCCACCTCCTGGGTTCAAGAGATTGTCCTGCCTCAGTCTCCAAGTAGCTGGGATTACAGGTGCATGCCACCAAACCTGGCTAATTTTTTGTAGTTTTAGTAAAGATGGGGTTTCACTGTTAGCCAGGATGGTGTCGATCTTCTGACCTCATGATCCTCCCACCTTGGCCTCCCAAAGTGCTGGGATTACAGGTGTGAGCCACTGCACCTGGCCTAATTTTGCATTTTTTGTAGATATGGGGTTTCTCCATGTTGGTTGGGCTGGTCTCGAACTCCTGACCTCAGGTAATCTACCCACCTTGGCTTCCCAAAGTGCTGGGATTACAGGCATGAGCGACTATACCCAACAGAAAAATGTTTTCCTTGGTAATGGGGTTCTGAATACACAAAATATATTTCAAATGTCTCATCTCTATTTTTAAACCATTTGATTATTATTTTTTTTCTGAGACAGGGTCTCGCTCTGTCACCCAAGCTGGAGTGCAATGGTGCAATCTTGGCTCACTGCCACGTCCACTTTCTGAGTTCAAAGGATTCTCCTGCCTCAGACTCCTGAGTAGCTGGGATCACAGGCAAATGACACTGCGCCTGGCTACTTTTTTGTATCTTTAGTAGAGATGGGGTTTCACCATGTTGGCCAGGCTGGTCTCGAACTCCTCACCTGATCTGCCTACCTCGGCCTCCCAAAGTGCTGGGATTACAGGCATGAGCTACCATGCCCGGCACTATTTGATGTTTTAGCAAGCCACATGTAGTAGAGTACCTGGAAAAGAGTGGCTGCTTGATAAACACTGTCAAATTGATAAAGGAATCTTCTCATTTCTAACCAGAACCCTAAGGAAAACTAAGACCTCAAAGAGAAAGAAGAAAACAGAGGCAAAAGAGTACCACTATCTGAAAATATTATGCATTTGGTTATGTTAACTTATTTACTGTCTCATTCCCCACTAGAATGTAGTAAACTCCAGGAGCAAGGGCTATATCTGGATTATTTCAGCCAGGAATTTAGAACAGTAGAACATATAGCACATAGAGTATCTCCAAAAACAATTATTATTATTGAGATAGAGTCTTGCTCTGTTGCTCAGACTGGAGTGCAATGGCACAATCTCAGCTCGCTGCAATCTCCACCTCCTGGGTTCAAGCCATTCTGCCTCAGCCTCCCAGGTAGCTACAGGCATGGGCCGTCACGCCCAGCTAATTTTTTTGTCTTTTTAGTAGAGATGGAGTTTCACCATGCTGGCCAGGCTGGTCTCAAACTCCTGACCTCAAGTGATCCACCCGCCTTGGCCTCCCAAAGGGCTGGGATTACAGATGGGAGCCCCTTCCCCTGGCCCAATTTTTTAAATGAATGGCCTAAGAGTTAAGGACCCTCTTGCTTTGGACTTTAGAATAAAAAAAAAAAAAGAGGAAAAAAAAGAGTTAAGGACCTTCATGAACTTTCAGGATAGACTCAAATTCAAGTCCTGACTTGTCATTTATTATAATTCTTAAAGTTATTAAGCTTCTTCATAATAGTACCTACCTCAGAGGTTTTTGTGATTTTAAGAAGATAATGGATGTAAAATGCTTATTACCCAGCAAATCGTAATCTGACTATACTTACTGAGCATATGCTATATGCCAGACCCTGTCCTGATGATGCATGTGAATTCACTCATTTAATTCTCACCATAACTCCAGGAGGTAGGTGCTTTTATTATTTCCATTTTTATACTCAAAGTAAATGAGACAGGGCAGTCAAGTAACTTACCCAAGGTCATATAGCAGAAATAGCTTTCAAACCCAGTCTGGCTTGAGTCTCGCCTCCCCCCCTTTTTTTTTTTTTTTTTGAGATGGAGTTTCGCTCGTTACCCAGGCTGGAGTGCAATGGCACAATCTCGGCTCACCGCAACCTCCGCCTCCTGGGTTCAGGCAATTCTCCTGCCTCAGCCTCCCGAGTAGCTGGGATTACAGGTGTCCGCCACCACAGTCGGCTAATTTTTGCATTTTCAGTAGAGACGGGTTTCACCAAGTTGGCCAGACTGGTCTCAAACTCCTGACCTCCGGTGATCGGCCCACCTCGGCCTCCCAAAGTGCTGGGATTACAGGCAAGAGCCACCACGCCAGGTGAGTCCTACCCTTAAGGTACAAGCTATACTTCCACTCTTTAGGACCTCAAGTGTTAACTCCTACAGTTTTAACAATGACGCCTGTAATCCCAGCACTTTGGGAGGCCGAAGTGGGTGGATCACAAGGTCAAGATATCGAGACCATCCTGGTCAACATGGTGAAACCCCGTCTCTCCTAAAAATACAAAAAACTAGCTGGGCATGGTGGCGCGCGCCTGTAGTCCCAGCTACTAGGGAGGCTGAGGCAGGAGAATTGCCTGAACCCAGGAGGCGGAGGCTGTGGTGAGCCGAGATCACACCACTGCACTCTAGCCTGGGTAACAAGAGCGAAACTCCGTCTCAAAAACAAACAAAAAAACAATTTTACAATGACTATTATTAAGGGCAGTGAGAAGCCATGACTCAATGACTGTTGGAGCAAGCTGTATTAAGAGCGAACTGAGATGAGACTTACCCGGTGAGGCGGTTTCGGATAATTTTGACGCTCATTACAGTCTCCCCCATGGTGGCGAAAGCTCTGGAGATGAAGTTCTCATCCATATAGGGTTCCAGCTGCATAAATACAAGAGCACAGCGGCTCAGGCCGGCGGCCGGGCTTCCCCCTCCGGGTTCCAGAGCCCCTCCCCGTCAGCCCGGGGCTGGCTACGCGCCGCTGGGGGCGCGGGCCGGGAGGTTAGCCTCTGCGGAGCGGCCTGAACCCCCAACTCCTTCGCTTCAAGCTTGTCCCGCTTTAGGGAGCCTCCCCTTGGACCTAGAAACCACCACCCTCCGGTCCTAGAATAGCGCGACTCAGTTCTTGGATTCCTCCCATTCTATGTCACCAAAGCACCACCTTTCCTTCCCACGAACCCAGGTGGGGCTCCAGGACCCCTAGCTCCACTAACTCAGCCTCTTCACTTAGATGCTGGAACCCGCTTCTGTGTCACCAAAAAGAACCCCCGTCTCACCTCTCTGGTTTTTGGGATCCCAAGTCCCCTCCCCCTCAGACCCTTCCTCCCTCGCCACAAAGAGATGCCTCCTCGTCCTCAGACCCCGGACGGCTTCCCTCACTCACGTCGCCCATCCACAGGCTGGCCGCCATGCCCGCGCACCCGGGTGGGACTTTACGGGCGGGGCTCGAAGGCCCCTGCGCGGGCGCCAATCCTGGCTGCGGAGACCGCTACAGAGCATGCGCCCCCGACGCCTACTGCGCAGGCTCCAGAGCTCAGCTACCAGGGTCGGGCGGTGTAGTCAGCTCCGCGCTTTTCCTGCAACCCGGCTGGGCGCTGGGCTTCCGGATCGCGGTGGCCGGAGTTCAGGCTGGAATGGGACCTGGCAGATACCACCTGGCCCAGGCGGCTGGGTTACCTAGGTTTATTTCTGTCTTTATATATTTAGAAAACAAAACCATATACACGTACACGCACACACAGAGCTGGGTTACCTGGGTTTATTTCTGACTTTATATATTTAGAAAAAACCATACACACGTACACACACACACAGCGAGGTTACCTGGGTTTATTTTTGACTTTATATATTTAGAAAATAAACAAAACCGGCTGGGCACGGTGGCTCACGCCTTGGGAGGCCAAGGTGGGTGGATCACAAGGTCAGGAGATCCGAGACCATCCTGGTCAACATAGTGAAACCATGTCTCTACTAAAAATACAAAAATTAGCTGGGCGTGGTGGCACGCGCCTGTAGTCTCAGCTACTCAGGAGGCTGAGGCAGGAGAATCGCTGGAACTGAGGAGGGAGACCCAAGCATTTGGGATTCCCTCTCCCTCTGTTATTCACTGTGCATCTCAATAGAAGAGAGAGTAGGCCAGCTGGCGCCTCCTTGCTCCACTTTTTCCTGAAAACAACAGGCTAGGCCTTGGGGAAACTCTCCAGAAGGCACTATTTTTACTTAAACAAGATCAACCCAGAACCCTTTTCACATGTGAGTCCTAAAACTGTAAACCGGGAACCCTTTCATATGTAATTCCCGAAACTGTAAACTAAAACCTTTTCACATGTGAGTCCTAAAACTATGAACCTAAGATTCTTCCACGTGTAACATCTAAAGTAGAAGCCTATATAAAGGCTGAACCTCCCTTTGTTAGATGAGCTTGGCTGTTAGGCACCTATGCCACCTTGCTCCCAGCTGAAATGAATTCCTTCCTCCTGTATTCCGTGTCCGAGAGATCCTTTCCCGCCACCGCTCCTGCTACAGAACCAGCAGGTGGAGGTTGCAGTGAGCCGAGATTGCGCCACTGTACTCAAGCCTGGGCCATAGAGTGAGACTCTGTCTCAAAAAAAAAAAAAAAGGCCGGGCGCGGTGGCTCACGCCTATAATCCCAGCACTTTGGGAGGCCAAGGCGGGTGGATCATGAGGTCAAGGGATCGAGACCATCCTGGTCAACAAGGTGAAACCCCGTCTCTACTAAAAATACAAAAATTAGCTGGGCATGGTGCTGCGCGCCTGTAGTCCCAGCTACTCGGGAGGCTGAGTCAGGAGAATTGCTTGAACCCAGAAGGTGGAGGTTGCGGTGAGCCGAGATCGTGACATTGCACTCCAGTCTGGGTAACAACATCAAACTCTGTCTCAAAAAAAAAAAGAAAACAAACAAAACGTACACATGTACACACATACAAGCACAGATAAAATTGTTACTTGGGTTTATTTCTGACCTTATATGTTTAGAAAACAAACATGTAATTGCAGCCTTTGGGAGGCCAAGGCAGATGGATCACGAGGTCGGGAGATTGAAGCCATCCTGGCCAACATTATGAAACCACATCTCTACTCAAAATACAAAAATTAGCCAGGCATGGTGGCCAGTGCCTGTAGTCCCAGCTACTCAGGAGGCTGAGGCAGGAGAATAACCTGAACCCGGGAGGCAGAGGCTGCAGTGAGCTGAGATCTTGCCACTACACTCCAGCCTGGGCAACAGAACAAGACTCCTCCGTCTAAGAAAAAAAAGAAAAAGAAAACAAAACCATACACAAGTACACACACGCCCACATGTATAATTACAACATTAATATATGCTATTGTAAAAAAAAATGCAGATACAAGCGCATCCAAAAAAGTAAAAATACCCCTCTAAGGCTGGGTGCGGTGGCTCACGCTCGTAATCTCAGCACTTTGGGAGGCCAAGGAGGGTGGATCACCTGAGGTCAGGAGTTCAAGACCAGCCTGGCCAACATGGTGAAACCCTGTCTTTAAAAAAAAAAAAAATACCCCTCTGCATAACCCAGCTCCACTACCTCCCTGTTATTACAGGGGTTTCTTGGGTTCTCAATGCAACAGAAATTAACATGAGTCCAAAAGAGTTTTCCCAGGCAAATCTTTTTTTCTTTTTCTTTTCTTTTTTATTTTATTTGAGACGAAGTCTTGCTCTGTTGCCTGCCTCAGCCTCCCAAGTAGCTGGGATTGCAGGCATCTGCCACCACACCCAGCTAATTCTTTTGTATTTTTAGTACAGACAGGGTTTCATCAGGTTGGCCGGGCTGGTCTCAAACTCCTGAACTTGTGATCTGCCCGGACTCAGCCTCCCAAAATACTGGGATTATAGGTGTGAGCCATTTTGCCCAGCCCTTTTTTTATTTTTTGAGACGAAGCCTTGCTCTGTCACCCAGGCTGGAGTGCAGTGGCAAGATCTTGGCTCACTGCAACCTCCGCCTCCCTGGTTCAAGCTGATTCTCCCACCTCAGGAGGAGTAATCCCAAGTAGCTGGGATTACAGGTCCGTGCCACCACGCCCAGCTGATTTTTCTTTTTTTTTGGTGCCGTGACTCAGATGATTTTTGTATTTTTTTTTTATTTTATTTTTTCAGCCGGAGTTTCGCTCTTGTTACCCAGGCTAGAGTGCAATGGCGCGATCTCGGCTCACTGCAACCTCCGCCTCCTGGGTTCAGGCAATTCTCCTGCCTCAGCCTCCTGAGTAGCTGGGATTACAGGCACACGCCACCATGCCCAGCTAATTTTTTGTATTTTTAGTAGAGATGGGGTTTCACCAAGTTGACCAGGATGGTCTTGATCTCTTGACCTCGTGATCCACCCGCCTCGGCCTCCCAAAGTGCGGGGATTACAGGCTTGAACCACCTTGCCCGGCCGATTTTTGTATTTTTAATAGAGAAGGGGGTTTCACCATGTTGGCTAGGCTGGTCTTGAACTCCTGACCTCAGGTGATCCGCCCACCTCAGCCTCCCAGAGTGCTGGGATTACAGGCCTGAGCCACCGTGCCCGGCCGAGACACATAAGCTTCATTGGAGCTTATGCCTAGGTATAAGGAAGGCAGCTGGAGAGGGGAAGAGAATTCCCTGACTCTGAAAAGAGCTGGTTGTTTTTTTATTAGGCAAAGCACAGAAATTGATATCAAGGGTAGGGTATACAGGTTAGGCAGGACAAAGATTGTGAGGGTGGGTATACAGGTCAGCATATCCTGTTGTGATGATTATCTTTTTTTTTTTTTTTTGAGACAGAGTCTTGCTCTGTCACACAGGCTGGAATGCAATGGTGTGATCTTGGCTCACCTCAATCTCCGCCTCCTGGGTTCTAGCTATTCTCCTGCCTCAGCCTTCTGAGTAACTGGGATTACATGCACCCACCACCATGCTCAGCTTTTTGTAGTTTTAGTAGAGACGGGTTTTTAACCATGTTGCTCAGGCTGGTCTCAAACTCCTGACCTCAGGTGATCCACCTGCCTCAGCCTCTCAAAGTGCTGAGATTACAGGCCTGAGCCACCATGCTCAGCCAATGATTATCTTGAGTACTGAGCTACCTGGTGGTTGGTCTGTCAGCAACAAGTCTATAAATGAAGTATTCAGCATTTCTTCCTGAGATGGGACATTCCACAACCTTGCTTGGATAATTTGGATCTCCTAAGGCCAGACCCTGGATTCTTTTCATTTTATTTGCTTATTGATTTATTTTTTGAGACGGAGTTTCTCTGTTGTTACCCAGACTGGAGTGCAATGACACGATCTCAGCTCACCACAACCTCCACCTTCTGGGTTCAAGCAATTCTCCTGCCTCAGCCTCCCAAGTAGCTGGGACTACAGGCGCACCCCACCATGCCCAGCTAATTTTTGTATTTTTAGTAGAGACGGGGTTTCACCTTGTTGACCAGGATGGTCTCGATCTCTTGACCTCGTGATCCACCCGCCGCGGCCTCCCAAAGTGCTGGGATTATAGGCGTAAGCCACCGCGCCCAGCCTTGCTTATTTATTTATTTATTCAGTCAGTCATTCTGAGAGAGGGTCTCACTTTGTCACCCAGGCTGGAGTGCAGTGACACAATCTCAGCTCACTGTAGCCTCAAACTCCTGGACTCAAGTGATCCTCCTTCCTCAGCCTCCAGAGTAGCTAGGACTACAGGTGCGCATCACCATACCTGGCTAATTTTTCGTTTCTGTAGAGAGGAGAGCTCACTATGTTGCCCAAACTCGCTTTGAACTCCTAGGCTCAAGCGATCTTCCTGCCTTGGCCTCCCAAAGTTCTGGGATTATACGTGTGAGCCACAGCGCCTGGCATTTTTTTTGTGTGTGGTAGATCCTGGAATTATTTCAGTAAAGGGCATGATTACACATTATAAGAGCACAAAACAACAATATATAATGGCTATTTTTCTTTGCATGACTAAAGCCTCAGAGTTAGCGGGTATGGTTGTGTGGGGTTTTTTTCTTTTTAAAGATGGGGTTTCACCATGTTGGTCCTGAACTCCCGACCTCAGGTGACCTGCCCGCCTTGGCCTCCAAAGTGCTTGCCAAGTGGTGGCATGAGCCACCACACCCGGCGATTGTGTGGGTTTTTAAAGTGGGAATGCATGAAAGAATGCTGTAGGCAGGGCACGGTGGTTCACGCCTGTAATCCTAGTACTGTGGGAGGCTGAGGCGGGTCGATTATCAGGTCAGGAATTTGAGACCCGCCTGGTCAACATGGTGAAACCCTGTTTCTACTAAAAATGCAAAAAATTAGCTAGGTGTAGTGGCAGATGCTTGTAACCCCAGCTACTAGGGAGGCTGAGTCAGGAAAATTGCTGTAACCCAGGAGCTGGAGGTTGCAGTGAGCTGAGATCATATCACTGCACTCCAGCACGGGCAACAGAATGAGACTCTGTCTCAAAAAAGAAAAAAACAAAACAAGAAAGAAAGAATGCTCTAGTGCAGGGGTCCCCAGTCTTCAGGCTACAGACTAGAACAAATCCATGGCCTGTTAGGAACCAAGCTGTACAGCA